ATTTGCTAAGCTTCCACCTATTGGGATACATTAGCAGTTGTTTCAGTAGAATGAGATTATCCTTTGCAATTCCATTGGCTGTCTAGCCATTATTGTCTTTTTGTCACTCTTAAATAAAGGTTGAATATGTGATGCAGCACAAGTGTCAATTAAAATGGAAATACAAAATGACATTGTATGTACTGTGGAGGAGTAAAATGATAGATGGCCTCATTCACCCTGCTGTCCTATCCACCCTTGTCTCATCTGCCAGAGGCCCTAAGAGATCAATGAGATTGTCACCCAATGCTCATCCATATACCTGAATATGCAGAGCCTCTAGCTCATGAGCCATCCTGTCCAGTGTCTGCATGGTTTTGTCCTGTTGTATTTGGACATCATACATTTGATCCTCATAGTATTGGCAGTGGGCCTCAGCATCGTGGAGTCATTTTTAGGAAATTGCTATCATTCATTTGGAAATCAAGTACCTCCTGCAAATGGGGAGTAGCCATGCCTCCAGCAGATGGGGAAATGATATTCAGGGAGGACCACAAGGTTTCCATGATCTCCCCATCCACCTGGCCAGCACCTACAATGAAATTGGGAGCATATCATGCAAAGCATTCTGTGTGGTGGCCATGAACATGCCACAACCCAATGCCAGGGCAGATATGCATGCCATCCAGCATGGATATATAGGCATTGGCATGTAGCTGTCATTCTAAACCTTTGCTATACTGGCAGTTAATATCATAGAAATGTATCACTTGCTGGCCAGGGACTGTGCCATCAATTTCCTCCTGTGGCCTCCAAAACATCTGCACCTCTTTACTGGCCTTGCAATCTTGCAAAGGATACAGAGGATCAGGTAATCAGTCAACAGATCTTTGAACAGTTTGACATCATTGTATGACTCAAGACTCAAGTGCAAGTGACTGATGCCAGATGGATGGATCTCTTGCATCATGTGTGTCACAGTAACTGTAAGGACCATCACCTGTCAATGCTGCGAGGGCTGGTGCTCTCTGACCCCTGTTGTCTGGCAACTGACTTCTTGCAAGCACCTTGGAGAAACACTGTGCTGGTCACACCTTGACGTGCTGTGCATATGCATTGGAATTTGATGTGCACTCAATCTCAGTCAGGGGACCTCAGGTCCTATCTGGTCATTTGCCCTGCATGGGATTCCATAGCTGGGCGTCCACTGTCATTGCCTGAGAAAATTGCTGTGGCTACTAAACTGAAGACTGACCATGCATGAAACAGGCAGGAATGTGCTGGGCTGTCTGACAAAATCAAGCTTGCCATTGGAATGGAGGTGATGGTCACCTTTAACATCTTGACTGACCTAGACATGGCGAACAGTGCATGAGGCCATATTGTGGACATTGTCCTTGACCCCAGAGAATGTGTGCAACCTTCTCCATCACATCAGATTGTGTTGCAGTATCTGCCTGCTTTTGTCCTGTTAGAAATGAAGTGCACCAAGGTGGGGCCCCTCCCAGGTCTGCCATCAGGAGTACTGCCTATCATGCCTCTTTCAAGAACTTTCACCATCATGATGACTTCTGGCAGCAAGTGTACAGTGACACGGATCCAACTCCCTATCACACCTGCATTCACTTTCACTGATTACCATGCACAAGCACAGACAATCGAGTACTGCATTGTTGACATTGGTTCCCCCCCCACAGGCAAAATCACCCCATTCAATGCCTACATTGCTCTCTCCTGTAGCTGTGGTCGGGAGAACATTTGACTGCTAAGAGACTTTGATGAATGACTATTTATGCAACACCCCTGTGAGCACTTGCACAATGAGGATCAGCAGCTGGAAAGGATGGATGGTGCAACTGAAGCTTGGTGGGATCTTATTGACACTGGCACAGATGTGTATCATGGAGGTGCTGTGGCCACACAGCTTGTGTAATCTGCCATCTGGATCTCTAATCTTCTGTGTACAAAGATGTATGTTATATGGGGTTGTAGCACCATGGGCAGTGTCATGGGCCTCTAATCATCTACCTGCAAAGACACATGTTTTAGGGTGTTGTGGGGTTGAATATTGAGCTCGAGTGCAAACATGGTGAACAAGGTGCCTGCCATGCGAAACGACCTTATTCTAGTGTAATTACATAAGCATGAAAAAGCGCAGCCACTAATACTCCCAAAACATGTCCTCATTTGGCATGTGCCTGACATCTGACACTCCCACACACTGCCCTCATTGCCCCCAGCCTCCCTTCCTTCCTGGGCTCCGTCCCTGCCCTGTGGGCATTGTATATGATAGTTAGATGTACTATAAGTGTATTAGACCATAAATGAACGCTTTTCTGCCCATCCTAATGGGCCTAAATGATTGCAAAGTGGGATAGGAAAAACAGAAAAAGCGAACACTTTGTTGATATATTGGACATATATATCTATTTATTGTGTCCCCTTGAAGGGGCCATGTGTCCCTACAACATATCAAAAGTTGATAGGTTGGGATGGGGTGCTTCAAGTGTAGTGGCACAATTGCCTCCTCCTGTGTTACACCCTGAAAAATATTTTTCTGGGCTTTTTGGCACTGGTAATGTAATCTGACATGGTGTAGTGGTCATAATAAGTGTATTCACATGTAATTTGATCATCCATGCAGTGTCTGAAAGGCTCTGAAAAACTGGAAAGTATCTTAGGGGCTAAGACAAAAAAAGTGCTTGCATTTTTGATATATTTGACATGGGCACTTAAAAAGGAATCAGCTTGGAGGATGGCTTTATACCTACAACATATCAACAGCTCATTATGTGGGGCAGAAACCTTGAGGTGTTGTGCCATGATCTCTTCCTGCTGGTATGTAGGGGTTTCATCAGGTTTTAGGCTGTTTACTGCTATTCTGACTATCTAGGCAGCACTAGAATACTTATTGGCAGTCACCACAATATTCCCAAGTGCATATATTCAGGGGAGAGCACCATGGAACTGAAACAATCCTCCAGGGGAAACACAGCACTACCATCCATTGGATACCACACATGGTGTGGGGTGTGCTATTTCATCTTTTTGATATGTTTTGAAAGTCTCCACAATTTTTTGCACCTTATCCCATGCTCTCTGGAGGATTGTTTCAGTTCCATGGTGCTCTCCCCTGAATATATGCACTTGGGAATATTGTGGTGACTGCCAATAAGTATTCTAGTGCTGCCTAGATAGTCAGAATAGCAGTAAACAGCCTAAAACCTGATGAAACCCCTACATACCAGCAGGAAGAGATCATGGCACAACACCTCAAGGTTTCTGCCCCACATAATGAGCTGTTGATATGTTGTAGGTATAAAGCCATCCTCCAAGCTGTTTCCTTTTTAAGTGCCCATGTCAAATATATCAAAAATGCAAGCACTTTTTTTGTCTTAGCCCCTAAGATACTTTCCAGTTTTTCAGAGCCTTTCAGACACTGCATGGATGATCAAATTACATGTGAATACACTTATTATGACCACTACACCATGTCAGATTACATTACCAGTGCCAAAAAGCCCAGAAAAATATTTTTCAGGGTGTAACACAGGAGGAGGCAATTGTGCCACTACACTTGAAGCACCCCATCCCAACCTATCAACTTTTGATATGTTGTAGGGACACATGGCCCCTTCAAGGGGACACAATAAATAGATATATATGTCCAATATATCAACAAAGTGTTCGCTTTTTCTGTTTTTCCTATCCCACTTTGCAATCATTTAGGCCCATTAGGATGGGCAGAAAAGCGTTCATTTATGGTCTAATACACTTATAGTACATCTAACTATCATATACAATGCCCACAGGGCAGGGACGGAGCCCAGGAAGGAAGGGAGGCTGGGGGCAATGAGGGCAGTGTGTGGGAGTGTCAGATGTCAGGCACATGCCAAATGAGGACATGTTTTGGGAGTATTAGTGGCTGCGCTTTTTCATGCTTATGTAATTACATAAAATGCGGAGGAGTGGGGATTTGTGGGGAGAAACTCCCAAGGGGAGGGGGTGGGCAGATCTCAGATCTGCACTACTAGTATACTGACACATCACTATGGTATAAGGGAGTTAGGCAGTCTTGCATCACAGTAATGCTACAATTATCACACTTTGATGCATCAAAATGATACTATAGCCTGGGATGTTGAAAAAAGCATCTCAGTTTTCAGGGTGCAGTGACCTTGTAAACAAGGTGATGACCATGTGACCTATGACTGAACAAACTGCATGAATGTATGACTGCATGACCTTTGGACTGCATGAATGTGTGACTGTGTGACCTATGGCCAAATGAACTACATGACTGCAGTGTCTGGTGTCCTCCTAACCAACAATACTTCCTAACTTCAAAGATATGTGCTGCACATCCATGTGACCACTGGAAAAAGTTCCAACTTTTGGCCATACAGAAGTGCAATTGTCCAGCTTTCTATACAAAAGGCAGGCCAACCAAACTGAGCCCAAACCCCCCATGCATGTCACTAGATTATTAAGACTTTCCCTTGCATGTCCTTGGGAATGTCAGTTCCTAGTCCTGGGAGTACAATCTTGCAGTCTGTAGTGACTCTCTTGTACTCTTCATACTCTTTGACTCATATGAGAAGCCACCCGTTGAACTGCTGACCAAGGTGGGCAATCATCTTTAGTGCCTGGCGATAGTTATCTATGTCCAAGGAATGTTGCCAGGCAACCCCACTACTTGGACCTCAGAGTTGATGAATCCACAGATGCACAAAGATGTATTTCTGTGGATTGTCCACTGAAAGATCATCTGCAGCCATGAATGCCACTTTCCCCATCCCTGATACCTTTGCACAATATGAGTCCTCCCCTTTGCATGGCTTCTTGAGACTTTCCACAGGGACGATGATGCATGAAAGCTCTAGACATTGGTTCATAAACTTGGGCTGGCCCTTGATGCAATTATAGACTTCCAGAGTTCTTTCCCAGGGCAACTTGACATCTAATTCCCCAATTCATGTTTCCAGTTCTTCCCCATCGAGTGACAGAAGGTTGGAAAGGGTCTACTCATAAACAGAAATGGAAGCTGGCAGACAACTGTGGTATGACAATGACTTCCCAGACCATGTGAGCACAGTTACCTCGCAGGTATGGTCTACAATCCCCTCCAAGAGATGGCCAAGAGCATCAGCTCCTTCACCATACTGTGGTATGATATTGGACTGGAATATGCCAATAAGAGAATATGCAATATCTTCCTTGACCATCACATTGTGTGTCAAAGCAAGATGGAGTTTTTCATGCACCCTGAGATTTTCTGGAGAGAACATGATGATAGTTTTCTGCAGAATCCTGATAGCAACTGCTAGTTCTTGCTTGATTTCCAGAGAGTCCTTGTGGTTCAGGACATTATTGCTGAGGTATCATTTCCACTTGGAATCATAAAAAAGGATGATCTTCGGTGAGAGAAGCTCTTGCAAAGTCCGTGCTTGTGTCACCCATTGACTGTGCATAAGGTCCCCCCACTTGGACAGATGCACAATGTTGGCAAGGAATACGAGCATGGCTGCTGAATTTGCATACCAGCTGTACATTGATTTAAGAGATTGATTGAGGATGAAGGTATTGGTCTTGTCGATACAACAGGTATCCGACCATGCCCAGCTGTAACCAAGTCTGTGTGTTTCCTCGCAGAAATTATGCAATTTGTTATTCAGGGGCTTGTCTGAAAGGTTCCACACAGATTTGACTGCATTGACATCCTTGAATAATGGCTCCTTCCCTGGGCCCTCAGGGTAATTCCATATATGTGAGAACATGACATATCCAAAGAAACTTTCAACCTCTGGTCAGATCTGCCCCTTGTCCACTTTTGTCATCATGGATGAAACAAGTTTTTTGAACCTCAGATCAACCTTGAAGCTATGCTTCCACTCAGTCTTATTGTAAAGGCAACCAGTAGTAACATTAATAACAACGAGGCACATAGTGTAGTCACATTTTGTCACAACACATGGGCAGCCTGTGTGCCAAAACACCAACACTTATATGGACCCTGAGATGGGCCTGCCTAAATAGATTAGCCAGTACACATGGACAGGCCCAAGGGACTAAAGTGAGAGCAACATATGTATGGGCCTGTAAGTGCATTACCACAACATATGGGAGGGCCTGTGGTGGGTAAGGATGTTGAAACATTTAGACAGGCCCATGACCAATTAAGTATACTGAGTTGCTGTAAGACATGGATGGGCCCATCCTCATAGGTTACACCCCTGTTGCAACATCAAGGTGGGCCTGCCTATCATAACATGGAGAGGGTCACAACATAAGGACAGGCCCATCTATGATTATAATACAAAGTTGGCAACATATGGACAGGCCTGGGAGTAATATCATTTATGGTGTCACAACATCTGGACAGGCCTGTTCATAATAAGCCATACCCCTGTCACAACATAAAGATGGGCCTGTTGACAGTAAGATGTACTGCTGTTGAAACATAAAGACAGGCCCATCACTAGAATCATTTAATAGAGTCACAGCATAAGGTCAGGCCTGTCAGTAGTATTATGCAACATATGGATGGGCCTGTCCACAGTAAGATGTACCTCTGACAAGACATAAAGATGGGCCCATCAGTAATCTCATGTATAGCATCACAACATATGGATGGGCCCTTCAGTAGTATCATGTATATCATCACAACAAATGGACAGGCCCATCTAGCAAGATCCACCCCTGTTGCAACATAAGGATGAGTCCATGTATGGTATTCTTAGGCAGCAGAAAGGGGGATCCAAGCTATCTACATAAGGATGGTCCATGTAAGGCATTCTCAGGCAGCAGAAAGGGAGATCAAAGGGATCTACATAAGGACGGGCCCATCCATGGTATTCTCAGGCAGCAGATAAGGGAAAACAAAAACCAGTGTTACAACATAAGATGGGCTGATCCATCCATTGCAGGATTACAAACCCTTGGCACTGCATAAGATGGGCCAATCCATCATATCATAGATAGCTCACCACAAATAGACAGGCCTATCCATAATTGGGTTATCCCCCTGTCACAATATAAGATGGGCCCAGGAAGACAAGAAATGAAGAAAGTGGAACCTCTCACACTATAGAGTATCTGAATTTCCCACTATAAATTGTGTTTCACATTGGATGATTTGCCTATTTAGTTGGAATCTCAGGTACTGGTCTATGTAGCTGCAAGCCAGGCTCCACCATTGGAGCAGATGGGAAACACACAAAACAAACAGCAATGCTATTCCAGAACAATGCATCATATTTTTATCTGAGCCTGTGCTTCATATATGCATTCAGGATTATTGACTTGTACTGGTATTGCTGTCATGTCATGGGAATCACTCATAGGTGGGATAAAAAATGTGACATCCACATATCTCATTGTCCATCTTTAACCTCTGACTCTTCCACTCTCCAATCACCATCACCACTCTCACCATCAAACTACTCCATCATCTCATCATCAGAAACATGTCATCATCATTGTCTTGCAAGCTCTTCAAGAAATCACCTGAGCTTGATGCTGTGGCCAACCACATCCTTCAAATTTACTTCAAGGATATTGTGGAAAGCAGCAAGCTGGGAAAGGCAGACAAGATTGTGAAGTGGAGAGGTGCCATCAAGGCAATAAATGATGAACTAGTGTGTCATAGCATCATCACATTTTTTTCACTAACTGATGCATTCAGGACACTGTACATAACCTCATCACTAGGATGGATGAGATTCTGATGACCCTCATTGGCATTGACATGTTCTTAAAGTGGCAAGAAGACCTCAGCTCGATTGAGCACCTGTGGCCTGAGTGGAAGACCTCCCTATCCCCTTCCAAAACTGATGTCACCAACCACAAGTGGCTTGACATTGTCAAGCATCGATATGACTACCACTGGTTGGACCTCCCTATGCCCTGTGTGGTGCCAACACCAACACCACCCACTCAAGAGACCAAAATGCCTATGAGCAACAAAGGAAAATGGAAAGTGACTGAGGCAGAGGTGGAGCAAATGATAGCAAATAGCTCACACAGGATGGAGGTGGATGATGAGGGTGAAGATGAGGTGCCAGAGAAGGAGGACAATGAGGAAGAACCAGTGCAAGGCAGGTGGAAGTGCAAAGCTGCTGCAAAAATGATGTCCCATTGATCCAGATGTTGATCCTGCACTAGGAAGGCAACAGCAGAAACCAACAATGATGAAGATGATCCTGCTCAAGGCCAATCAAAATGCAAGCCTTGTCCACTGTTGGACAGACTATACAGTCACACTGCCATAGCTGCCAGAAGGATGCCTTCCCCTGACCCCCATTCCTGCAAGTCATGGCACAGATGCAAGGTCCAATGCTAAAAGAACCCCAGGAAGTCCTGCTTCCTGTGTGATGGTTGCAAAATTCAATGTAGCCATGCCAAAGGCAGGATTGCCACTCCAACTTGACAGAATCCATTGTGAGCCAGGAGAAAAAAGTGAGCTCAAAGTCTGCCCCTGATGATGGAGGCCCAAGAATCCCAAAGCCCAAAGGAATGTCCCCCAAAGCAACACATTTCAATGGCTTCCAAAGCCATCAATGCTGGGGTTAGGCCCTCCAACCAGGGAGAGATGATCCCTGAGGGATCTTCACTCAGTATCTTCACAATTTCATGTATTTATGCTGACTCAAATTTTATTTAGAGATTCATATTCCTGCATTCAAATGCAGGGATTCCCACCCAATCCAAGCTGCTGTACAAGTGGATTCAATTGTCAAGGCTGGCCCATCCATCGTGCAGGAGGTAGAGGGATCTACAGCAGCAGGTACATTTAATCACTCTACATTTACACTAAATATCACAGTTAACCCTTGTATTCAAAGCAGACACCTGCCCATCAACAACAGCAACACCCATCCAACTCACAACTGCTGCAACTCCCAGTGCACCATCACCCCTCTGTGCCCCAATCACCAAGGTGTTGCAAATGTCTAACACAATCAAAGAGCAAATTGAAGATTTGGAATGTTGACTCTGTGATGCTGAGGACCACCACCAATACTATGAGGATTGAATGTCTGATGTCCAAATACAACAGGATGAAACCATGCAGACACTGGACAGGATGGCTCATGAGCTGGAGGCTCTGTGTATTCAGGTATATGGACAAGCATTGGGTGATGATCTCATCGATTTCTTAGGGCCTCTGGCAGATGAGACAAGGGCAGATAGGACAGCAGGGTGAACAAGGCTGTCTATCATTTTACTACTCCATGGTACATATGATGTCATTTTATATTTCCATTTTAATTGACCACTCATGCTGCATTGTATATTCAACCTTTATTTAAGAGTGAGAAAAAGACAATAATTGCTAGACAGCCAACAGAATTGCAAAGGATAATCTCATTCTACTAAAACAACTGCTAATGTATCCTGATAGTGGAAGCTTAGCAAATGCATGGCTTTGTGACATAGAATAGTTAACTTGAAACTTGAAAAATGAGATAGTGGGATGGTCTCATTCTGCTAAAACCAGAGCTGATGGAACCTGATAGATGGAACCTTTGCAAATGAGCAGACTGTGCAATATGTGATAGCAACCTGCCATTTGACACAAATGCAATTAATAGTCTGATTTGGCCAACACATCTGAGTCTGCTAATACAGCTGCTGATGAATCCCAATAGACAGACACCTGGTGAATGAGTGGGCTATGCTATTTACAGCATTCACTTGAGAGTTACAAAACATGATAATGGCTAATGATAGGATAACAATGCAAAGAAAGATGTCAGCCTGCAAAAACAGCATTCTGTGGATCTCAATAGATGGAACCCTTCCAAATGAGCAGCCTGTGCAATATGCAAGGTTGATATGGACTGTGTTGACCTGCTAACATGGCATTCAATGGATCCTGATAGAAGGAACCCTTCAAAATGAGCAGACTGTGCAAGATGCAAGGCTGAGAGCAATCAGTCATTGCATGCAAATGCAAAGCAATATTCTCACTGCACTAACATAGGATCCAAGGTATGCCCACAGGTGGGACACATGCAAATGAGTGGATTGTGAGATTTGCAAGGTTCAATTCAGGGAAAATGTTGCATTCTGCTATTGCAGGAGCCAATGTATTTCAATAGGTGGAAGCTTGACAAATGAGCAGATAAATATTTCTCCACAGATGGAAATACAACCAAGGGCATTCAGCCAGTCACTAGTGACCAATTCACCCTCAGTAGTGAGCAATAAATATTCTGTTTCCCAACAATGGTTTGTTGCCATTCATCTCAGCCCATGGATGCATGAGCCTTTCAATACAAACAATATACATACTCATGTCATACCAGACATATCCACAATGGAATTAAAACATGTAAAAGGTGAATGAATGGGCTAGCTTGCCACTGGACATTTCCCACAAAGTACCCACTGACCCACCCATCAGCTACAGGGTGGAATGCAAGGGCAGGGAATGGAAACTGCAGGTTCACATTAAGCTAACATTTAACTACAAATCTTTCTCCAGAACAAACTGAATATCAGTCACATTCATGGCATGCTCAGCCAACCTCAAATACATCATCCTCTGCCTTGCTGCATAACACTGCACCCCAGGAGCTCCAATAGTGCTGCTTCCCATCTGTATCTTATGCCATTCTTTTGCTTGAAATCTGAAGAAACTTATAGCCCATTGAAATTCTGATATTATGAGCTCTTCCTCTTCTTCCCAACAATCTTTGAGGGATTTTGCTCACAGCCAATGAATGCAATAAACTAATTGAAGAAAGTTCATCAACCTTAAAGCACTGTTGAACAGTAAGGTCAACATACATTCAGACATCCAACTCTTTGATTCTGTGTCCTGTGGGACATTGATCAACCAAAACCATGGAAGATGGGTTCCATGGTGCTCCTGTGCATTTTGGGAGAAGGCTGCTGTCTGCCCAGCCAGGTCTTCTTTATGAAGCTCTTGATAACATCCTAAGATATCTGCACCTGCACCAAGTACAACCATGGCATCTCTGCATCAATTATAAATCATGGCCTGTTGTTTTACTGAGACATTGATAGCACAGATCATATCCCAGGCCCAAGTTTTCACAGAATAGCTCTTAGCTGTGTGCACCACCCCCCGAAAGACAGCCACCTTGTCTGCCAACATAAGATAGAGGCCATATAGCACATCATTAGCTTGACCTGTGCAAAGCTTCAGCTCCATTTCTGCAAGATTTTGAAGCACTTGAGCTCGACATGTGTCAATGCCAAGAGCAGATGGAAGTGGCAATTTGTCCTGCAGTCCTGCCAGGGTTCCATCTGAAGTGGTGTCACACACCAAAGGTGTTTGGTGAGGTGGACATGGATACAGCTGATGAATGGAGATGAAGACCATAGCCCTCATGTGAAGAAGGACAGCCAGGAATGTTGGCAGTCATCCCTCACACAAGAACAGGTCATCAGTGCCAGAGAAAAAGAAAGGGAGTGAGTTAAGTGCTGGCTAAAATTCTTAAGTGCCCATGTACAGCATTCCAGTTTTTGACATATCTCCACCATTTCTGCAGATACCAAGACCATTCCCACACTCACTTGTAGTGCTCAGCCACATGATCTTACCTTCCAAAATTGGAAAGGATTTGCACCTTGTTTTCCAAGGGAAACACCCCTGTACTGTATATAAATCACTGTACTTAGGTAGCAAAAAAAGAAGACATCAGAGAGCCCCTCTTGCTCACATTTTATCATCACTCAGTAATTCATTCAGCAGCTTTGATAGTTGAGACTTTATTAAGGGTCTAACTATCATCTACTTCACTTATCCTTGTCTATCATCAATATACTTCACTCCAAGCCCTCCCTGAGCTCAGTGCAGCTTAGGACATTGAATTAAGTCATCATCCATCCTTCTGTAGGCTGACAGCAGTCTACCCTATCACATTCTCTTGCATTCCTGCTCCTTCTTCATCAGGAGCACCCCCAACCCTCAGCACTCATCTTTGAGTGTTGTAGCTTGCAAAAACCCTCCCAAAGAACAGGTTCTACCATCTAGGTACCACATAGGCACACCACCACTCACTCTTTTTGTCTTTTGTGTTGGTTTTGGTTGGTTTTCACCACTGAACCACACTTTGACTCACAGTGGGCAACTCATCCCCCACATTGTCCAGCCAACCATCATCCAAAGCATAATCCTGCTCTGAATTTGTGTCAAGAAATGTGGTCTGCTGTACAGATTCACTGGTGGAAGTGTTGGAGCCTGCTTCAAGGTGCAGCTTCAAGTAAATTGTGGCATCCACAATAAAACCCAATTGTTCAGATGCAATGTGATCAGCACAGCATGCCATAGCCAATTTTTTCAATTCTGATGCCCATTCCCCAACATCCTTTCTGTCCATGTGAAGTGAGGTTATGGCCTCTTCTAAGTGTAAACCATGTGCTAGCCAACTAGCTGCTCCATGTAGGCTTCCACTGGGTCTTGGTTCCTCCAATAATGCTAGTTTGATGGCATGCACTGTTGGTACTTCTCATGATATGTCAGTATTTTGCATTTATCCAAAAAGGCAGACACCATACCTGCCCTTAATTGAACTTTGAAGATGTCCATGACAGATGGGTTGTCAACATGATCATGCAGTGCATGAATCTCTTGCATTCACAGCTGTTTCACTGCTCTGCAGTCAAGGCTTCATCTAGCTTTATATATGCCTGCCTCACCAATGGCACTGCTGCTCGAGCTGCTTTGAGCTTCCATGATAGGCTATCTGCTTAATCTTGGATGTCAGAGAGTGCACTGCAAGTGGATCCTCAGACTAACCAATCCAAATCATCTTCATGAAGTTGGAATCATTCATCTGGAAATCCAGCAGTTCTTGGCAGTGTGGTGAGGTCATCCCACATGCAGATGCAGATGCCACATTAAGGACAGACCAAAATGTTTCAATGATTTCTCCATCTACCCATCCAGCCCCCTTGATGAACAGCAGGGCATACCATGCATAACATTCCTTCTTGTGCCCATGCACATACCATATGCCAATTCCAGGGATAATCTGAAGTGATGACAGGATATCAATCATCTCACTTCAACCCACACACTTCTGCAGATTTGTCATGTAGGAGCAGTTAATGTTGTAGAAGCAAACCACTTGTTTGATCCCTTCCATATTGTATCCCAATGCATTTGCCAAAGAGTAGTCCATGTTCAACTGTCTGCAGCACCATCAGTGGGTGTCAAAATCAATGATTCAACCTCATACCTTTCTCCTTTTTGGAAGTCAACAACACAATGTGGATAAAAGCATCCATGCCATGTGCATGCAGTCACCCCAATTCTGGTTGCATGAAGCTTTCCCCAGGCTGCATTTGCCTGACTGATAGCTCTGTGGTTGTTGCAGGTGGATTTCTGTGCCTGAGCTCAGATCATGTTTTGCATGGGTTGAATGAATTCATACCTCTATGATATGTGGAGTGGCCTTCAAATAGTCCATGTAGTGCGGATTGGTCACCATATAACCTAGTCCATCCATCAACCACACCTGATCTTCAGATTTCCACTCATGCATGTGTTCTGCTTTAAAGTTTCCATCCATTACTACTGTGTGGGTGAACCACCAGCTGGAGAAGGTCAGCTATGAGGATTGCATTATTGGAACCACTTACTGGTCCAAATCCTCATAAGTATTAACATTTATTCCAGGCTGGGGCATGCTGCACAAAATAATGCCAGTCCACCTGTCATGGTCATGCATTCATCCTAGGTCCTCACTCACTCCACACCCCTTTCCACTGGTCATTCACTCACTAACACACCAACTCCACCCAACTTCCGTCAGTCACAAGCCATCTCTGCTCCAGCTGCTGTTGGAGTTGCACTGCTCCCCTACCAGACTGAATGGACTGTTCTCTGAGGGGTCATGTGACTACCTTCAGACTCCTCCCTGACAGGTCGCAGTCAGGTACTCTGCAGCACACACACTGCATGGTCCAGTGCCTGGACTGTTTCCTTTTCTGGATGTTCTATGTTACCTGTTCATATGCCCTCTGTCTACCCTTCATTCATCATCTAGGAAGTTTTACTTGAAAATTTCTGGGTCTCCATATGTCAGTGGTGATTCCAGTTACTGTACCTCCATGGTAGTATAAAAGCATGTATCATACTCCATTGTTCCTCAGTATGAATATCAATGTAGTTCCTACTCCCTCTGCCTCCATCTTCTGCCTATCAGAGTTACCTCTGACTGTCCATCTGTACTCCCCCTCTGAAATATGAGGGCTGAGATCATGCAAGGGGGTAGTGCATGAGCTAAACCTGACACCCTCACTTTGCTCCACCCTTACCTTGGCAGATTTTGTTCCTGCCAACACTCTGCCAGTTGGAGTTCTACTCTTTCCATCAGACTTGCTCCTGAACCTCTCCCTGGACCTCAACAAGCATCGGAGTTGGTCAGAGTAAGCCCAGACTTGACACCACCTTTCTCTGCTGACCTGGTTGTCCTGTGGAATACATTCCATTTAAGTAGCTTGAGGTATTGCCATTTCCATGCAACCCATAGAAGCTCACAGTATCTATCCTGATTGACCCTTCAGACATTCCAACACTTGGAACAAAAATACCAAATCTTACTGGAACAAGGTGTGGAAACACACTGGATGTGATCTGGTGCAACTTGCTGTAATAGTTCATACCAGACATTCCACATTCCAGGTTGTCCCTCAGGAAGTCATCCAGAACTGTGAATGTGAATGCAAACAAGGCAATTCCCCTGGTAGGGAAATTACATTCCCTACACCCCAGGGGTACTCGAGATCTTGACTGTCCCCAGTCAACCCAAAGGTGGCTCGACTACACAGGAACCCAAGGTCATGGGGGAGGGTGAGACATCGACTCATCAACGAAAAATGGGGGCTCGGAATGCCGCGATATGAGACATGACAACAGAAGGGAATGTAGTGAGTACCTTGCAAAACGAGTGGAGGGAATCCGCGCGCCCGATCCTGAGATATCCACAAATCTGCCCAAGGGTATCCTCATTCACCAACAACCAAATGTAGCCACGAGTTCTGCAGCGACGACGACGGAAAAGGTACCATTCTGAAGCTGTGGAACAGTGGCATCAGGATCCCGAAAAGCGAGAGATCCCGTCGAGAAACGGGTGAGACACTCGCAGAGTTGTCCTAAGGTGTCTGCAACAACAAAATGGCGCGTATCTCTACAACGGCAGCAGCGAGAGTGATGCATGATAGACCGTCAGAAAGGCCTCGACGAGTAGTACAAAGTCCCCGAAAAGCGAGAGGTCCGGCGATGAAATGGGCGAGTTATCGTGCATACAGCATTGTTGACTGAAAAAGGAACACTACAGACCAACGACAGACGCTCGGGACGCAGTGAAACTGCCAGCAATGATGGAGGGGAACATGACGAACGCGCTGAAAAAGAGACGGAGGGCATCTGTCTACGCGGGCCTGAGATATTCGGAAAGTTGTCTGAAGGTGCCTCCAACCACAAAAACGAGCATATCTCGACGATGTCTGCGTGGATTTTGACAAAAGAGGCGTCCCCGGAAAGGGCTGCGCGAGGGGAACGGACTGCCAGAAAAGCGAGAGGAACAGTGCTCGAGTGCACGAGATACGACGAAAGGACCTCAAGGGCAGGAGAAAGGGTTGACTCGCACAACAACGGCTGGGACGGTCAACACGAAGTTCCGGGAGGCGGTAGGGGACTCGTAGACGAACAGGTAGAATGCATAAATGCGCCCATTGGATCACCCGATTCTGAGTTACAAGCCAAACCGTCCCGAAACCCTCCAAGCACGAAAATGGCGATATCTCAACAACGGTTGCGCGGAGTTTTATAAACCATGTGTCTCCAGAAAGGGCTCATGGAGAGGAATGAACGACCGGAAAAGCGAGAGGAGCGACGCAGAACTGCATGAGCAACTATGGCAAGACCTCGAGGATGGGCCTTCGCACAAAAATGCAAACATCTCCGGAGCTACTGGACCTATCCGAACAATCCTGATATCAACATGGAGAATTCGTCGTGGACTACAATCCTTCCAAAAAGCGAGAGGCGCGGCGCGGAAATGAGGGAGATATGACAACAAGACCTTGAGAATGCACCTATCCACAAAAATGCGAATATCTCCCGAACGGCTGGGCGCATGCAAACGGGTTTGGTACCGACAGAGAGCTGACGGCGAGTAGTACGAGCCTGCCAAAAAGCGAGAGGCGCGGCGCAAAAACGAGCGAGATACACGCTGGATACTTGCTCGGTATGAGGGAGGTAGTATCCACCTTGACGAGCGACAAGCGGTGTTGATGGTGGCCTCGTCGACAGTGTGCCTTGCCGGAACTGTATCTGCGGATGGGAGGCATCATGTAGAGTGTGGGAAGGCGCTGGGTGCGATGCTAAGCGGCGTTCCGTGGGGAACTCGAGCCTGGGGGGGTAAAACACAGAAAAAGAAAAGAAAAATAAACATGTAGGTGCCGTTCACCCTCCAAAGTCGAAGTCAAAAACTTCGACTTCGACTTCGGCAATGTAGTCACGTGATGATTATATAAGCTGTGCACGCCCGCGCGAATGCGAAGTCCATTTATTCCGAAAAATTCGCAGGTGGCTGTGCTTGCAGCCACTGCAAATTCGCTGACTAAGCGGAAGGCGCGCATGCGAGAAAGTGAGGGTCGGGAGACTTGCGGGCTGTGCACAACCCTTGCCTGTACATCTGTACTCAATTCAATGCTACTGGAAGCCACTCTATGTCAGCCATGTAATTATTCACAAAATAAATGGGTATCCTGCAAAGAGACCCACCCAAATTTGCTAGATGAGTGGTGTTCAGGCACGGGAAGCAGCCACATGATCACACCTCACATGTGGCACTTGCACATGGAATTTCTGTGGAGGAACAACTTGGGATATTCCTCTACACCTGTGTTACTGGGTTGTCATCCCAGCATGTTGCTGAGAGGTTCCAACACTCACCAGGGACCATCACTAGGTAGGGAGTTCATTGGACTGTCTGATATTTTTCTCACAATTTTTTAGATATTTCAAAGCAATGTTGGCTTTCTTTTCTGGGGGACAATTCTATGCATCCCAAGTGCAATTCCCCACCAACAACACTCCCATATCAACTATGATTACTAGTGACCCATGCTTCTGATTTTTCCAGGATTGTATTGGTGCAGTTGATGGCACTCATATTCAAGCATTCACTGCTGCTGAGGACCAGCCTTACATGAGGAACTGGAAGGGCTACCTATCTCAAAACTGTCTCATTATCTGTGATTTTGACTTCTTCTTCACATATGCCCTCACTGGCTTTGATGGGTCAACTGCAGATGCAACCATGTGGCATGATGCACACAGGAATGACTTGCACATGCCACCTGGGAAGTACCTTCTTGCAGATGCAGGGTTTGGGACCTGTGATGCACTTCTGGTTCCCTATCAAGGTGTTTGTTACCATCTGAAAGAATGGTGCCAGGCTGGATTAAGGTAAGTTGCTATTCCATCCTGCTCAGTGTACCTGTAACTTCTATTTTATAGACCTCAAAACTGAGAGGAGTTATTCAACCTTTGCCATGCTGGACTTAGAAATGCCATGGATTGGATATTTGATGTTATAAAATGCAGGTGGAGGATTCTTCAAATTCCCCCTGAATATGGCATCCACACCCAAACTCAAGTGCCTGCTTCTCTCTGTGCCCTCCACAATTTCATACAGCACTATGATCCAGAAGAGTTCTTTGACCCTGAACTTGCCATGGACATAGGAGAGGGTGATGGTATTGGAAGCCTTGGTGATGGACCAGCAGATGCTGCAGAGAGGAAAAGGGCTGATAATAGGTGTGACAACATTGCAGAGGAGATGTGGATTGACTATCAGCACCAGCTTACAATTAGGGGCCTTCTCTGAGCCTGAACATTCAGATTTCATGGTGTACAAATATATGTTCTTACAATTGTTTCACACTCATGTGGAAAAATAACTTGCATTGTCAAAAGGAAGCTAGTCATAGTCATGTACATTTTATTATGTACGTATTTGTATAAGGGGGGGGACTTGAAAAGATATGCAGGGGGGGGTACATTTGTATATTGTAAAAAAACAAACAAACAAACACCTATCTCTGCCCATCCCAGTACTTCATCAGCCAATGCTGCACCCAAATCTGCTTTGCCAGCTCCTGATGCTAGAGGAAAATATTCACTTCATCCAGGGATGCACTGAGGAAGTAGTTGCCAATGTCAATCTGATCATCTGTTGAGAGCTGCAGCATGTTGTTGATGTAGTCCATGGCAGCATCAATGAGGGGATTGGTAATGGGTGGCAGGGGCAATGGGGCAGTGATTGCATGTGTGAAGTTATTGAGCCTGGAGGTGATGGCAGCAATGAATGAACTGCAATCTTCTTCAGCACACACTTTGGCCAATGGGGGCCAAGAGTGCTTCAATCCACCTTCAGACATCACAACAGACTCAGCTTTCCTTTTTCTGCAACTGATGCTGGTGATGGCTGATGACAATGATGACCCAGCTGACACATGTGACAAAAAACTTGATGGTGCAGAAGGGGGGATGAAGTTTGGATCCATGGACTGTGTGTCCTTGTGATGGTGAGCATTGAGTGTGTGTGTCATGTCAAGGAGGGAGAGGGAGGGAGGGGGGGTAGGAATAGTTGAAGTGGTGGGGGGTGCAGTAGAGGCAGGAGTATTGAAGGCAGAGGTCATGGTTGTAGAAGGCATGGTAGTGGTGTGTGGCTGGTAGATAAACTGACCTCAGCCATGCGAGGGGAGAAGGAGCTCTATGCTGGCAAAGTGGGGGAACCCAGAATTGCGAAATGGCTTCATGTCTTTGTGTGCCTGACTAGATGTTAGTGGATGATCTGACAAGAAAAAAACTACATTGCCTTTACATACCAATCCCAAAGATTGGTGTTGCCAGTGAGACCATCACACCATACTCATCATCATAAGCAAAGCCAGAGGCCACCAATTTAAGATTGGTGACAGCATAGTAGGATTTTTTAAGCTGGATAATTGTTAGCAAGGCAAAAAAAAAGAATGATACAACAACTTACTGCCTTGAACTTCTGCTCACATGATTCAGCTGTCTTATCTGGACCTGGTGGATAATTATGAGCCATGTGGGCTGCTGCAGCATTCCACATAGCCTTCTTAAAGTTCCCATTGCCAGCCTGTGAAAGATGAGAGGCCAAGAAATCCAGTAATGTGCCTCCCTCCTCTGTTGTCCATACTGCAGCTTTCTTGCAAGTCCTGGGGGGAGGCAGGGGGTTCTGTGGGTCTAGAGGATTGATTGTAAGGCCATGCAAGTGCAATGAGCAGGACCTCAGGTGGATGGATGTGATAGTTCACATCACGTGACCCTCTTAACTGAAGCTGAAGTCAAAAACTTGGACTTTGCATTTGCAGGTTGAATGGCACCTAAGTGCAACTCATAGAAAAAAGTATCTAGAATGAAAATGAAGTAAAACAAGCAAAATAAGGCAATTCCCCTGGTAGGGAAATTACATTCCCTACACCAGACATCTGTATACCCTGTCATTGCCACACCAGGTGCAGTTCCTTGGCTCTGGGGAGGCTTCCAGCTCCAGGAGTATCTTCAAGAACTCCCCCTTCTGTGGAACCCATTTGCAGATGTAATCATTCTGCATCTGACACACCATGTGAGGTCCACTTTCAGGTTGGTGAACTGCTGCATACCTTTTTCTGTGGTAACATCAGTTGCTGGACCAGTGGGCTCATGCTTTCATGTCTGTCAAAGGCTGAATCCACCCATGCATCAAAGTACTTGGGGAAGCAAGACCTTGAATGCTTGGATGGTGAGGATTGGGGAGAGTGGACAGGGGTTGTTGGATCTGGCTGTTTGATTGCGACTTCTACCAATCATGATCTATATCTACCTCCAGTTCTCTGAGTCTTCACTTCCAGCTGCTTCACCCGATGGCCTGGGGTAGGACCAATCATTCTCATACCCTTTTGAGTGCTTCCCTTGGCCATCTGGAGGTTGCTGATTTCACAGTATGAGGTCAGTTGTTAGAAATGCTACTGCTAGTGCAAGTCACTTTATCATTTAGCTCTATCAATGTCAGAAGCTTAACACATGTCAGGGCATAAATACAAATACAACTACACTGGCCTTGCACAATGCATGGTGCTGCTTTCTTATTACTGCTCAATCCCTGCCTGCACATTCCCTTCCTGCTGCAACATTACTTGGGTGCTTTGCCTGGATTATGATGGTCAAGTCAACTGACAGCCCAGATGCAAACCAGGAGCTAATCTGCCTTTAGGCAGGATCCTGTCAAAGAGATCAGCCTGATTCGATATTTCAGTCACTTCATGGAGGTCCAAACAAATTCCTTGGCATGACCACACTAGTACTGAAATGCATTGAGACCAAACAAGGGCATGAAAAAACTTAGTAGCCAACCATCTATTATACACCATTATACATCATACCACACCATACTCCATGGAGACCCAGTATGAATCAGATGCCTGGGATCAGATGGAAAGAGATGATGCTGATGGTGAGTGAGACATAGAACCATCAGATGTGGGGGAAAGGGAGGAAGAATGGTTTGAAGTGGAAGAGTTGGAGATCCTTGGGCACTGACACCAGGAATGGAGGCAAGCAGGGAAGAAGAAGAAGCCTGCAGTTCTGCTATCCATATGGGAGGAGATGCAGCAATTGGGCAGGAACAAGGAGTTGAGAGGGAGCAAAGTCCAGACCCAGTGCAAGGTATGCTCTAAAAGTTCTGATTTGGATGCTCACAATTCAAAGCACCCTTGTAGCTAGTACAAGATTGGTTGAAAAAGCCCCTCCAGTCAAAGAAGCCCTGCATTACCCTTAGATCCAGTTACAAATACTCTGTGCAGGCAGTGGTCCATGAATTGTACCAAGAGCAAATACAGCAAAAGCTTGCAAAAATGAAAGTAGAAGAAGGCAATACCCATGGAAGCAAGCAGATCCAACAGTATCAGAATGCATTGATGGCTTTTATTCAGGACAACCTGATGGAGGAACAATTGGCTGCAGCTGAAGATATAGCAGAAAGGTGGAATGGGTGGGAAGGCCCTGCACCAGAGACAAAAGCAAGGTGTGATTGTATGAGGTCAACTTCCCAGTCTTCAATTTATCCTGGTTCCCAGGAATGCAGCCAAGTATGGGTACAAGTATGTCCGAAACTTTGCAATGGAGATGTGGAGGTATTGTGGAATGCACATAGTGTGCATGGCTGGGTGGAAAAATGAGGAGGGAACTATACAGGCATGCACATGAGTCCACTATATGCTCCTCTAGGCCTAGGTAAGACTCATGCAATGACAGTATGGACTTCAATAACAAAATTGCAGATGGAATCCTCTTCAATGATGTCTGCACACTGGAAGGAAGCTGGCAAGAGTACCTTGGGGAAACATTTGAGGAACCAGGAACACCACTTGAGCATGATAGTGGGTCAAGTCCTGAATGTGCTCAGAAAAAGACAGCAGCCAAAGCAACAAGGACTGGCAAGGTTGACTCCATGAAATTGGTGAAAAATGCTGATGGAGAGATATGGATAGGAGAAATCATGGGTCTTAGCCAGGACCAACTACAAAAAATGGTTTGTGGATTTGTGACTGCTCACTACTGTGAGTGGCCAGAGTATTTAGTGTCCTCAATCTCTGATGAGTGCTATCAGGATTAGCATGTGGAAATCCCTTGTCAGCAGTGCCATTCAAGAATTTTGGTCATCATCAAGTGGAAATGATAGCAGCCCACCATCTTCCTGAAGGATTTACCTTTGACCACAACCCAAGCCACATGTGGATGACAACAGCTACCCAGCTGCTGTCCTTTTGGCACAAGCAACAGGAATCCCATCCAAATGATGTGATTGGATTTCAGAAATGGATTGATTGATCTGGCAAGCTGCAGCCACCAGTGGATAGAACTTTGGCACCCCTCCAGGTTGTGAGGCAGTGGAAATACCAACAGACACCTGCCCCCAAATGCAAAAAGAATCCTGGAAGGAAAAATGTCAAGGGCAAGGGTAAAGCACAGGAAGAGGGAGTGGCACATGATAGTGCAGATGATAGCATGGATGACAGTGCAGATGACAGTTTGGATGATCACAGCAAGGCTGAGGCAAGCAATGTTGAAACAGATGGTCCCTCTGCTAAAAAGGTGCACCATGTGTGATTTTCATGCATGACAGATCAGCACTAATGTGATTCTGGTCTTCAGGTATCTGGCAGGAGGAAAAACCATGCCAAGACACCATTCCCTTCTTGTTCCTGCTCAAATCCCCCACCAGCTGATGGTTCCCATAGTGAGCAGCTCTCTGCACTTCCAGCCCATGCAAAGACCCCAGTGCATCATCTGTAAAATAAAGCACTAACTGACTATAATGGGTAGGAAAGCAATGGCCATGATTCTGATGATGAAGCTGATGAAGACACTTATTTTCCCACCCTATCCAATTCAAAGAAAATGGCAACATCCCTGAATAGTGAGCTTCCCACTGTAACTTGTATTCACAGCAAACCCTGATCTGCACTCAGGGAACAAGTACACCACTGAACTACAGGACCACTCAGAATACACAGATGAAGATGGATTGGAGAGTATTCCTTTCACTGACCACACAACTGAGGAGGGGTCAATGAGCAGAAAAAAAGGTGGAAAGCTGAAATCCACCCTGAAGCTCACACACCAGGCAAGTTTGGTCATGTTGAATCAGCTGTTATGGCTAACAAGTTTGTGCTGTATATTAAGCAGGCTCTGTCAGAATCAAGTGAGCCAGACATGAATTGACATTGACCTGGGGCCAAATACTTGTCCAAGTCCAACCATAATGGATCTGTGACCACCAATGCAGCATCTGCAAATGTGAAACAGGGCATCCCTTGGAGCACCTGGAAGTCACCTCGTGTCAGAAAGGCCCCTGCAAGGCCAGATGCAGATGTTCCATCTCCTGATGCAAAGAGATTGCACAAGCAAACAGGCAGCAATCAGAAGCAGAAGTAGTTGTCGAATCCCTCAAACAGTCAGAGCAGAAACCTTTTCTGGAACTTGTGTATGGTCTATAGAGGGCTTAGCCCAGTGTGACACATTAGAATACAAGTGTATAGCATGTACAGTAGCTCATGGTGGTTGTGAGAGGTGTCTTTGATATCAGAGAGAGGGATAGTTAAGCAGGACAGTTGAGCAGGACAATTGAGCAGAGAGCTGAGTGGGACAGGTCTATGTATTGGCCATGTGGAAGCGACTGGTAGCTATCTATGTAGGGAGATATTTCTGCTCATCTCCCATGTATTGCTGTTACCCAAAATTTGGCTCCGTCCACCATTGTCCAACCTTGCTTCCCATGGTGTGAATGATATTCTCACCATTTTTCCTACAAGTTTAAATCTTGATTGATCATCAACCTATCAGTGAACCCATCATCATCAAATATGTCCACCAAACAGTCCTGCCAAGTTTGTTTCCATTGTCAAGGTGAGGTTGTCTTCATTGTTGGATCCAGTGACCTAAGCCATCCACAGCTAATGTAAGACCAATTGAGCCAAGGCAATCTAGCTCCTGTGTGAAGCAGTCCAAAAATCTGGAGGAGACACTAGTACAACTGTGTGAGTTGTGAGAGCCAACCCCTCCACCAATTGTCTCAAGTGGAAGGGTGGATATGGTGGGGTTGAACATGGATATCACGGCCAGTGAGTGAACATGATTTCTCTCCAAGCTAAACAACAAACATTCTTTTGCTATAGATTCATGTGAAAGCTTGGTGGATCAGTTCCTGCAGGAAAGGGAGCCAACTGCTCTGGCAGAGGGCAGAATTGCAGCCAGTGAGTTGGCACGTTTGCCCTTCCAGCTAACAAACAAACTAATTTTCTAGTAACAGACCCACATGACAACTTGATGAATTGGTTCCTGAATGAATGGGAACCAACTGCTCCCCCAGCAGATGGTATGAATGTGGATCTACTCAAGCAATTGCTGAATGTGCAGGAACCATCAGCACCACCAGTCACACCCAAGAAATTAAACAGGATGGATGGGTCTTTAACACCTGCACAAGACATTACTATGCAGGTCGATTTTCTGGCAGACTTGCAGAATGTGCAGGAACCATCTCCTCTGCCCATCACCCATGAATCATCAAATCTGAGGGACTGATCTCCTTGACCTGATTCTCTGACTAACCTGCTTGTGCAATTGCAGGATATGAGGGAACCAATGCCTCCCCCACTCATTTCAAATGTACCTGTTGAATCTTTTGACTTGGCAGTGGATGAGGACAATGGCACAAACTGTTTGACTTTTGGCATGCCTGAATGATCAGAGATGAGGGATCTTTTCAAGGAAATATGCAATGGTGAGCATTTATTTGGTTCTATTCATGTGATCAGTGATATCCATTGATTATGTAGGTGAAATTCCATCTGCACAGCAATCTCTTCAAATGGAACAATGGGGATTGGCACCTGTTCTGCAATATGATCAAGGTATGGAGGTATGGGCATGAGCTTAATCTGATACACCTTTGACATTGATAATTTTAGTCCTGCATGCCTTACATGCTGCCATATCTTGCTATCATGGAAACACCACTCCCAGTGACACACCACTTGATCCCACCCTCGATAGGCACCTTGTGTGGGCTGCGAATGCCATTGTGAGAGAATTTGGCACAGCTGCAAGGGACCAGTATGGTGCAGCCTCTTAGGGCCTTCAACTCGTCAATATGCTCAATCTGATGGAAGTTGTTCATTATCTGTGTTCCACCTTTGAAAATTGTCCCAAGCCATTCATCACCAGCCAATCACACCCATCTTGCCAGTCTGTGGTAGAGATGGGTATCCTCTACTTGGCATGCCAGATTGAGGTGGCCTCTGTACATCTGAAGCAGACTGCTGATATCATGGGATGGCCCACACATTGGTTTGCAAACCTAGCAATGGACTTGGTAGGTTTTACATCAATTTTTCACAATGTGGGACTGATATGTAATTCCTTCAGAATCAGCTTAATAGCTTGATTCTGGTGATAGTGTTGCATGCCAGTTATACTCCTCCCCTCCCAGCATGCTACCATGCATACCTCAGACACCAAGATGATGAGGTTAGCTTCTGTGATCAAATGCAGCTATTTCCCCTTAGCACATTTTGCATAATTGACAATATCAGTGCCATCATCCTGCATTGGACCCCACATGCAGTTGATCCCAATTCCAGCTTTGCATTCCCTTGGTGGCTATATCATTCCAAGGAATATGCAGCAGATTCCCAAAGATTGCAAGGCAAGGGATTGTTTTCCATGGCCTGGGATTTTTCTAAGGTATGCTGCTTATTCTCGTTGCTGCAAATAGTTGATGATGGCCCAGGGCTTATGGCCATTGCCTGAGGTGCCAATTGCAGACTGTCTTGATGGCCATATCAAGGAGCAGGTAAACTACTGCATCAAAAATATTCAGAAATATGCCGATGTTGTCAACAGTCAGGGTTGACAAATTGACCATTTCTACACTAGGTGGTGGGCATTGCACAGGTTGTTGGGCATGCTGCTTCAATAGTTTACATGTTTTTGCCTGTGGAGTTGGTTGAATATACATTGCTGTAAATGTCAATCATTTATGAGATGCCACCCATTCACATGATGTCTGAACCCCCACCCATCTGCATGATGGCCTGAGTAGGTTTATTTTTTTTGCAGTTTATGATGCACACCCTTTAGCTCTGAGTACCTGCCCAATCTATGATGTTGAAGCACCTGCCCATTTGCAAAATCTTGGCAACACCACCTGTCCAAAGTTCAAGAGCCAGCATATCCTAATAAAATATGAGATCTGCATCACCTACTAAATCTTACATTAAATTTTGCAGCTTCAAATCAACAGCTGTCCAGTTGCAACTGGTCTAGGTAGTAGGTCATCCATCTGTGGTGGTTGACACATGGGAATGTGCACTGACTGATGTACATTGGCATGCATGTAGTATGCCAGGCATGCTCTGTCACTGTCTATAGCTCCCACCCCATGCTCCAGTGCTGAACCTGAAAATGCAATGATTGTCCCTGGGTTGTAGCACAGCCACAGATTCAATGTTGGAATGACAAAGTCCAAGGGTGGGTAGTTGCCCACAGTTACCAGCATGTCATACCATGGATCCTGTCCATTGATATCCCTGTGGTAACAAGTTGCCTGATTCACCATCATGGACATGCTGCTATACATGGAGCTCCATATTGGCAGTATGGAGCTCATATCTGAATCTGCCTGCTGTTCCACCTGTTTGCCAAGGCAGATCAACACTTCCCTGCCATCTGCATACATTCATGGATGGATGACATGCAGGATCACAGATAACAGGGCATTGGTGTTGGACATTTGGTCAACCCATTCCCTTGTAGAAGTGTTTTCCATCCTGGATTTGAGCAGCTGTGAGGCTTCCAGGAAGCCATTTTGGGGCTTCAAGACAGATGAGCACTTTATTCACAAGGAAAGAAATGATCACCCACCCCATGACCCTGTTGAAACCATGCAGGTGACAGGTTGATGGCACCTTTCAACTCAGCATTATCACAGAAATATGACTTGTCCATCTGCCATGCCTGTGGGGAAGCCTTTATGCTCTCCCACAGTGGTTCCCTCAGAAGATGAAGGCAGTTCCATATGTTGGCCTGCCATTGCATTAAGTCAGTAGAATATGAGATTCTGCATTCCCTTACCCTTCTTTTTGGGCTGAGAGCATCTGGCAAATACCAAACGCAGATGGTGTTTGAGTCAGTCACCAGAATGGATGGCTCAGTCACTTCCATGTATCTCTCAGCAGCTTCTGCATTGCAGGTTTTTCCACCCCAATTTTTCCTGACATTGACTGTGGAAAGATGAAAACTTCCATCACACCATTATGATGGACTTACTCAGGTGATGATAGGCCTGTGAGATTACTGACAATATGCAATCTGCATCACATAACACCAGAAATGGAATCAATATATCTGGAAGGGCACGAGGTCCACTGAATACCTCCTCTTGAAATCTGGCTTTCATGTATGACACAATGCAGTCTATTAGTTCCATTCACCATCCATGGGGGGTTTTAGACATGTCTTGCATAGTATTCATGCTTGGGGTGGATGAGGTCAGAGTTGTATAGTGGGTGAGCCACTTGCAGCTTGTTGGAAAATTACAGCATGTCAGGATGCTTGCCTCAATATTTTGCTGTGATCCAATCAATATGTTGTGATGCTATACATGCTATTGGTGTTGGGCCCATCTTATGTTGCAACAGGGGTGGATCTTACTAGACAGACCCATCCTTGTTTTATGGTGATATAAAAGATATTACTGAAGGGCCCATCCATACATTATGACCATATAAATAATACTGCTGAAGGGCCCATCCTTATGTTGTGACTGCATAAATGATACTGCTGCAGGGCCCTTCCATATGTTGTGATGCTATAAATGACATTACTGATGGGCCCATCTTTATGTTATGGCAGGGATGCATCTTACTAGATGGGCCTGTCTATGTGTTGTGACACTGTCAATGATATTACTGACAGGCCCATCCTTATGTTGTGACAGGCATACATCTTGCTATGGACAGGCCCATCTATATGTTGTGACAGGGGTATATTATCCCAAAGACAGGCCCTTCCATATGTTGCCAACTCTGTAATCTATCATAGATGGGCCCCTCTTTATGTTGTGACCCTATAAAGCATATGATGGGCAGGCCCATCCATATGTTGTGACCTTCTTCATGATACAATAGGTGGGCCTGTCCATGTCTTACAGTAGCTTAGCATACTTACTTGGTCATGGGCCCATCTATATGTTGCAGCATCCTTACCCTCCACAGGCCCTCCCATATGTTGTGGAATTGCATTTACAGGCCCATATGTATGTTGCTCTCACTATAGGCCCTCAGGCCTGTCCATGTGTCATGGCTAATCTATTTAGATGGGCCTGTCATGGGGTCTATATAAGTGTTGGCATTTTGGCACACAGGCTACCTATATGTTGTGACTAAATGGACTACATGGGGTCTCATGTACCACTGCTGTTGCAGTGGCTTGTGTTTATTTTATTCCCTTCGTCATGCTTAACTCAACCTGCCATGACCATCCACATCCTTGGAACCCAAGTTGTTGGAGGCAGGAAAGTAATGGCTGAAAGTCACTCTGAAGTCATAAGTACATGCATCACCACTTTTCCATTGCACTATTTGTTGCATCATGAACACTGACTATCCCTTTCGTAGGTGCCAGAGGTGCCGAAGTGACCTCCAAGTCATGTCAAGGGAGCACCAATCCCTGAAGTTGTCATAGAGCCAAAAGTGACCCATAACAAGCCTGTTGTTGCCGGTACTAGACCTAAATCTCGCTTGGGAACACCAAAGCAGACCAGGGATTGCCGTCGTCTACTGTACCTGCGACTGCTGTTGCTGCTGCGAGGGGGACAAGGGGCGGCGTTCGGAAAGTTGGCCACACCACAACGAGTGGTGGGACTGATAACGCAGGACGTCGTTCTGGTTCAGGTGGATCAGGATCAGGATCGAGGTCGGGCAGGTCAACGCCCAGTGTGACTGTTCGACCAGCTGAGGAAGATGACTACGACCCACTCGATATGATAGGTCATGCTGCTGAAGAAGATGGACCTTGCTCAAAAAGAAGGACGCATACAACTACGACAACCATGAAGGCGAAACGGGATGAGGTGGAAGGCGGCGTTGCTGGTCTGGCGGGTCGCACCAGGCGAGCGCCGACACCATCGATGGTTAAACCCCCCACGACAGGTGCTACTAAGGCTAGAACTTCTACGACGAGGAAGAAAGCGGGTTCGACGGCAACTACAAAAGCTGTTCCGGAAGTGAGCTCCAAGGTTGTGGATAAAGAGAATACGCCGTCGAAAAAGGACGAGAGTACGTCCAGCGGTCAGGATACGTCTGGATATGCGACGTTTGTTAAGGTGACAACAACGACAACAACGACTACTACTACTACTCACACAAGACAGGGTACTTCGGCAGGCGCGATGTCGAAGGAGGGGGAAAAGTAGGAGTGTGGTGGTGCGAAGACCAGGACCACGAAAGCGACGACACGATCCAGGGCATGATAATCTTTTTTCTGATTTCAGTGCATTCGTATTATCATGTGTTGTTACTAAAACACGCAATTGGGGGATCTTTTGTTTGAACCATAGGTAATGTACTTGTCTACACTCCAGGGAAGCAAGAGGTTATTTGTTTTGTGTAGTCCCGAAGATGGCACAGAAGGAATACCTCACGCAACCTTGAAAACAAAAATGTGGTGTATGGTGTGAAGAGTGTGGCTGGAGAGCGGTACAGAGACTTTTGTCGGCGGAGTGGAGAGGAGTATGGGACTTGTTAAGCCTACGCAGAAAGGGAGGCATCGGTGTAGACTATGGGGTAAAACTAATCAACGAATGCGAGTAACTGTAATTGGCACCATCATCTGCAAGAAGGATGTAGGGTGCTGACCATATAACTAGTCATTAGAGAGCGATGGAGAGGCCGAATTTGGGTAAGTGGCTTACCACAGTTTGTATGCACAGATGCACGTACAGATGGTATGTTTCAAGGAAAACTGCGATGTTACCTCAACGTTCTAGTAGTACTGCCCTCCCGAATGCCCAGAACCCGGAGCGGGGTCCCGGGCTTTCCATAACGATACACACTTTCAAACAGTGCTCGAATAACACCCCCAGATGGCGCCCAGAACACAGCAAGAGGACTGGCTATCTTTGCATGCTGGAGATAATCGATTGGCGCCCTCTCCAAACTACCGCAATGTCTAGGGTCACACCGGAGCCCGCGACCTCCATATGGTTTATCTCAAGCCATCAGAAGCATGATAAGAGAATTATCCATTTCCTCACATGAGCTGAATACGACCGGATGTGCAAAAGGCCCCTAAGGCACTCAAATCCTTGGGTAATGGCAATTTGAAATGTGGGCGCCAATCCGCCAACCACGGATTGCAAATTGCAGAAGCCGGGGGGCACGAAGGCCTAAAACCAATCGATGATGGGACACTGACTCAGCTGTGACCGTACCGTCTCGTCGAATGAGTGACAGAAAAAGGCATTGCGTGATCGGTGTGTGCTGAATTTAGGACCAGCTATTCGAAAATCCATCTGTACCCTGGAACGTGTTCAGCACTCACCTGTATCATGCACATAGCCACTAGCAACTCGCAGAGTAAGTTCCCGTGCACGCTACATATTAAGGATGTCGAATTGTCAAATAGCAAATAAGCAGAGGACCAACCATATCCCCGTGCTATGGTACCTACGTGCGAGGTTGATATTATTATTTGAAAAAATGCGGTCCGCGGAACTCCCCATGAGAGGCATTCAAACATTGCCGGAAATATGTGACAGAGTATGTAGACGTCGAAGTGTGTGGAGATGACTAGGTTATTCTGAGCAAAATGTCAGCGAACGAAACCGCTGTAGCCATTTGGTAACGTACCACCGCGTTCACCACCATTTATGAATGCATGAAGTTCAGGGTGCTACTGAAGGTATTATCCTGTAACTTTGCTGTAACTACACATTCGGCAGCACACTTCGAGAGCCAACTACAACCTCTGAATCTGCAGGGATCAGAGCTGCATTGTAAAGGCGTGCTTTCGAAGATACAGTTCACATTGATACCCAATGATCTGCACATAGTTGGTTATGTAGAATTCAGTGTCTTGAGAGCAAGATACACCGAGGTAGACACTTGGAGTTGACTTGGAGGATTAACATCGCTGCTGTCCTTTCCTGCCATGGTATCGCTGGGCGAGTGACCTGCGATCATTCAACTACATCACTTCATGAGTCGTGGGATAGACGCCCGAACAAAATATGCACGAGTGTCACGGTGGTGACCACACTATCAAAGATTTCAAGAGCTTGGAGATATATGATACTCAAGCTCTGAAGGTCGGTAACTGCGGCATTGACCTGTGTGATAATGTCGACAAGAATAATTCCACCGTACGGGGTGCGACCTGAATGTGTCTTTATCTTTGTCGTCGCATAAGGCCGTGTTTTGTGGGGTAGGGTTCAGATCCAGGGGAGAGGAAATGAATGTTTGACGGTATCGGTGGGATACGGAGCTCAAAGAAGTGGTGGCGGGGCAGAGGGGCTGGATCGGAGATCTACAAACATCAATTCAACACCCCCACCCACCTTATAAAATCCCGCGGCCCATCCGGCCATTGATCATTTGCGGGATTATACTTGCTATCAAGGTCATTTACAGACACGTGTTTGAACTCGATGCTACCGAGAGCCAGGTGTCCAAACTTGTTGGAGAACTCCGTAAATTGGCCTCTGAAGGTCTCACTGGCGACACCTCTGTCATTGCTGAGCAGATCAAGCAGAAGGTCGGCGAGACTCAATAAGCTTTGTTAGGTCATTTCCAGAAGGTGTGTGATGTGTCCTCTAAGGAGTCGACACAGGGCTCTGAGGAGTGCACCGCCTTCTGACATGTTCCACACGTTTCTCGATATATTGCTTGGTTTTGACTCGTCTGCCATCGCCTCCCCTTTTCATTCATATGTCCACGAGATCGCATGCGAATCAAACTTGACTTCCGAAAAGTACTTCTCTTCTAACACTACCTTATTGATCCATTTCTCTCCCATCCGCCATGAGGTCTACTCGAGATAATCGGGTCTGTTTGCACAATGTCACTTTATGCTTTTCTCCCAAAAATTGGTCAGTGGCGTTCACCTGAAGGTCCATACCATGACGTAAGGGCTGCGCGTTGTGGTTGCAATCCAATTCCAATTCAAGTGCGGTCAATGCTTCTGACCCCAATTCTAAAATCAAAATCCTCTTCCCAGTGGAGTGGTTCCATGGAGAAGAACACGAGCCATAGTCAGCATTGCTAATTTGCAAATATCAGTCAGCCTGCCATCATTTCCGTCATGTGTGGACAGTGCTTCTGACCTTAGAACCGTTCCATGGAAAAGAATGCCAACCAATTCGATGAGGAACGTGAATGCCCCAAGGTTAGTTGGTGCTACTCAATTGCAAATTTCGGTCAGCCTGACATAGGCATTGAGCCTTGCCATTTTGATTTGAGCATTTACCAGTACCTGTATATAAGAGACATGAAACAGACATCGACTCCTCAGTCCACAAGTACCTTGCTTATCACTCACATCCAATGACTAGCGTGCTCACTGGGGAGAGCGCCCTTGCTTTCTTGCTCCTTCATGATCCTGAGGAGGCACAGAACGTCGGGCTTCGCCTCCCGCTTGAAAGTATTATAGACCAAATGCCGGGGACGACCGACATAATCAAGGATATTCCGGCAAAACTGACCGTTAAAACCACGAACCAAAACCCCCTGGAACAAGACATCACAGTGGAGGCGATAGGAACTTTTATACACAGTGGGCCATTCAAATACGGTGGTAAGTAGGCAGGCAAGCGCAGATCACTTGTTCATCATATTACCTAGCCGACAAGAAATATGCTCTCAAGGACTGCAAAAATGTGCATGGCACCCTCTATGTCAGAGGCTCGCTCCCTCTACCGGGACCGAGTGGGTTTAATGCACAACAATTCCCACCCTACCCTTCCGCTGAGCCAGGGACTGCGTCTGTTGCGGGTCGTGTCATAATTGACTTCTGGACCAAAATGAGGATTACTGCTGTGGTATGAGTTTTAAAACTATCTGAAAGTCATACATTAACGAACACCCCACTCAAACCCCACTAGTTTAAGAGTGAGCTCATGTGTCACAATTGTGGCACCAAAAGCTAATACTCCTTTAGCTAAAGCTGAAAATTACGTTTTCGGCGGTGTCGGGATGTGGCAGATCCAGGGCTAACTCACCGAGCATGTTAGTGCATAAGTAATCACCGAAGTAACACTCTGTTCTAACATAATGGACACTCTGAACAGCAGTTGTACTTGCAATGTGTAAGTTAGCATTCTGGCTGATGCATGCCATGTAGTTAAATGTCATAGTGTTGCAGCCACAAATCCATGGATATGCTGGAGTGTTTTTTTTTTTTTTCTTTTTCAAAGTGTGTTTTTGTACGATTAGTAGGTGGCAATGTAAAAGCATGTTGAGTGACATAGTATGAGCGGAATATCATTCGGTGGTGTACTCTTGCCGACTAATGTATCCTTGGAACCTCCCTTACTCCTGCTTTGCGATAAGCCTTTGGTTACCTGTTCAGCTGAATGGAATGCCTCGACACTGTAGGACTTCCTATGCACCGAGACGTTGCATAAAACTAGATAGGGGCTGGTGTTGACAAGCTTACTAATGATATCGGAGTGCACGGTCCATGTTGCATCATCGCCACAGTTCCAGTTTCCTATATAGCTATATAACTATAGCTCAATTGTTCTGATGGTGCATTCTCAGGGTTGGCTGGATTGGCACAAGTGCTGCAACCAATGAAGCGCGTCGACCCAGCAACGCCAGTCATAGCATTCCCTACTCTTCAGCGAGCTCAGTACACGCAAAGGTGATCTTTCAAGAGAAAAAGCAGGTGCGCGTCGTAATTCCATTCGTGTGCACGCTCACCTTGGCTGGTGGAAGGCATTTGTTGTCAGTGCATCAGGTATTCTCGTCGACAGATGTCTAGTATTTCTCCCATTCCAAAACCCCTCACTCCCAATGACTGTACCCGTACGAAACATTTCCACCCTCGAAGTACGCGGAAAACGATTCGTGTTGACTTACCCTCCCAAGGAAATGCATACACCACTCTACTCCTCGCCTTCGCCGACAAAAAATGCGACCGGATCATCAGTGAATACGGGTGCGGGTATGACTCCAAGGGCGGGGAAGAAAATGCTGAGAATATCGATGATTAGAAGTGTAGAGGTATTAACGCCAAGAGGGAAAAACGCAAAAAATTGAGGATTTTGCAGACGCTCTTGAAAAGACAACAGTCGTCCCCACTAAAACACTAATACCGGACTCTCAAGAGAGCACATAATAACGAGCATGGGCGTCCCAACTCCTCTTCTGATTCTGATGATGACGACGACGAGAATGATGATCGAGACGAGGATGGTGAAGAGGAAGAGGAAGAAATTGTCCTCATGGACGGTGATCATCCCCATGTTCTTGAAGAGGACGCAGACCTCGTCATGCTCGAATCAGTCGAAGTCGACGTCCCAGAACCTCCACCCCCACAATACCAACGACGTCGCTAGCAACCTATCGCACCTCCCACCACACCTTTCTGCCCAGCATATTCGGCCATCCATTCAGCATACAATGATGCGCTCTGCACAACGCGCAGTATTGCAAAAAGGAATCAAGTGGGAGGAAGAGGAGCCGGAGGAGAAAGAGGTAGAAGAAATCATTTTGGGTGTCCTTGAAGATGACCAAGGGTCGAGGACGAGAGGGAGGGGGAAGACAGGGACGAGGAGACAGAGGAAACGGATCAACCGACTGGATGGCGTAAGAGTTTATGCTTGGAAAATGGCTTTGGATGGACGTTCGCTCGTCCTTCGCTGCACCTGAGGACGACAAGAAACACAAGCCCGAGGATGAAGAGTTCAGTTGTCTGTCCATTGTTGCAAATCTCTTGAGAATATATGCTGAACGCTCGTGGGCGGAGATGGTCGTTGATCTGGAGGCGCTCCCTCCGTCCATCCAAGGTCTTCAACAACCCAATTCAACTACAAACGCAGCTCCTACAAACAGAACTGTAGTCGACACTCTCCTCGCATACCGATCCCTGGGAACATTTATGACACTGCAAATCCCACGCGTCAGTTTGACCACAGGCGTGGGCCGAGGTGCAGGGAGAAACTCGTTTGGGGGACAGTCTTCTTCCTCTATTGCACTTGGTGGACCGCAAAGAGTATGTGTCGAGCCCAAGTGGAAAGTCACCGATATCGTCGTGCCCACACTAGATGAGAAAGAGGAAGGGGAGATGGAAGGGGATCTTGGTACAGTAGTACCACGTGTGACACCACAGAAGGTGAAGCTGGAGGAGTAAGCTGGAGTGAGGCATTCTGAGCCCTCAACGGAGGAAGTTCGGCGAGGAGGAAAAAGGGGTTGAAGAGGAGACAGAGCGAAAGTGCGTTGGTACACAGTGGGGAGAGTGATGGGTCTCCGGATGGGACAAGAGTAGATCTGGGAGACGGCCAGGAGAATGATGCTGAGAGAAAGGGTGGTACGGAGGAAGAAGGCGAGAAGAGTGACGTTGGGAATGATGAGGGTAATAAGGAGAATGGTGGTATACAAAGAGATGACGGTGGCCCTATGGACGTTGAGGTTTCCACAACCCCAGGTATTGGTGCAGAAAACAGAGCTGAGGCCGACTTAGCAGCGTTATACCAAGAAAAAGACAAACAGGCGCCAACCGAACACCCCTTCCCAGCTCTCACCCGACCATCCTCCCAGACCCCCCAATTGGGCTCGTTCAAACATCTCTTCTCCAAGCCTAAATACGACGTTGGAGCTGCCACACCTGCCATGCAGAGCATGCACCATCTATTCGAAGGTGTTCCCATCTCTTGCGAGGGCATCCAGATGCCGAGTATGGATAGGGTAAAGACGTTCTTGAAGGAGGAAGGGAGGGGCAGGGCAGGTGATGGGACACCAGCAATGGAGGGCGTAAAACAGATGATGGGCACACCAGTAGCATGGCAGCAGCAGGAGTCTAGTGGAAAGGAAAGCTATGAACGTGATGATGGTAATGACAAGACGGTGACTGAACAGGGACATGCTGCTGTGCCGCAGACCATTACGACGCGGCATCGGACGTCCAGGTTAAATGCGAATTCCGGAACGGTGACAACGGAGGGAACGACTGTTTTGAAACTCGAGGAGGTACCAACTGATGATGTGCTTAGCTCCCCTGCAACTGAAGTGCCAGAAGCCGCACCGAGCAAGACGAAGCCATTGAGAGTAAGGGAGCAGACCTGTAAACAACGAGCTGCGTCTTGTGTGCTGCTCCGGGGGCTCGTGTTTATTTTATTCCCCTTCCCCTTCTTCACACTTAGCTGAAGCCGTGGCGGCTATCTGCATCCTTGGAACCTAAAGCCGTGAGAGGCATGAAAGCAAAGACTGAAAGTCACTCAAAGGTTATAAGTTCACGCATCATCACTCTTCTGTCCTGCTGTGCATCGCATCGCATCGCTTCACATCGACGCCCGAACACTGACTGTCCCTTTCGTCGGTGCGAACGACACCGTAACGACCTCCGAGTCGTATCAAGGGAACACTAATTCCTGAAGTCGTCGAGCCGAAAACGACATGTAACAAACCTGTTGTCGCCGCTGCTAGACCTAAATCTCTTTGGGGAACAACGAAGGCAGGCCGGGGTTCGTCGTCTGGTGTGCCTGCAACTACTGCTGCTGCGAGGGACACGAGGGGCAGCATTCAGAGAGTTGGCAGCACCACAACGAGTGGTGGGACTGATGACGTACGTGGTCGCTCTGGTTCCGGTGGTTCAGGTTCGAGATCAAGCAGGTCAACGCCAAGTGAGACTGCTCAACCAGCTGACGAGGATGACGACGACCCGCTCGACACGATATGTCATACCGCTGAAGAAGACGAGCCTTGCTCGAAACGAAGGACGCATCCAACCACAACGACGGCCATGAAGGCGAAACGGAATGAGGCGGAGGGTGACGTTCAATGTTGGTCCGGCGGGTCGCACTAGGCGAGCGCCGGCACCGTCGACGGTTAAACCCCCCGCTACGGGTGCTACTAAGGCTGGAACGTCTATGACGAGAAAGAAAGCGGGTTCAACGGCGACTACAAGCTGGTCCGGAAGTGAGCTCCGAGGTTGTGGATAAAGACAGTACGCCGTCAAAAGAGGACGAGAGTACGTTTGGAAACGTGACGACGACTACTCGGACGAGACGGGGTACTACGGCAGGCGCGGAGTCGAAGGAGTGGGAAGAGAGCGGTGGTGCCAAGACTGGAGGAGCGAAGACCGGGACTACAAGCGCGACGACACGATCCAGGACGTGACAACCTTAATTGAATGTCAGTTGATTTGTATTATCATGCATTGTTGTTACTGCGACATGCAATTGGGGGATCTCTTGTCTGAACTACAGATAACGTACTTCTCTGCACTCCCTCCTAGGTGCGCGAGAGGTTACTGGGATTATGGCAAATCGACAGAAGTCTAACTTGAACTTAGTTTGCTTACATAAATGTGCATATGACAAGTGTGTGGACGTGGATGTTCCCTCGTAGTACAAGCTAGGTTATACACCACATCTGATCGAATGCTGTGGCATGGACACGAACTGCCGTGCCTGGAGCCCGATCGTAACCAACAATTCCGCACACAACCTCGGTCAATTGCATCTCACTGTCCACTTCGACAGTGCCCTCAACGATCACGATCGTGGCAGTGGGATGCATACCAGGATGATCATCATGCCTGACTATCACTGCTAAACTCCGCTGCAGCGAAATTTCCTGACGTGCCCGTCATGGAGGAGCAAAGAGTTGCCCTAATACACTGCCTGTCTCAGCAGATACCATGTCGATGACGTGGGGAAGCATTGCCTCTGAATCATGCCGTTCTTCCTCGCTCTCAGCAAAGACAAAGCCACTGTACCTGACATGCAGGCTAGCAGAGTCGCAAACGCAATATTCCCAACCCGTGAAAGTGGTTTGCAGGCAGGCAGTGATCGATAGGGGCGCCCAACGAAACGGCTTAATGCTTAGTTTCTCTGGTTCCTCGCACCACATCACACCAAGTGGGACCTCCCGCATGAGAACGTAGAAGTTGGCCATTCGTTGCTCTACGTCCGCACCGGAAAGAATAGTAGATAGGTCTTTGCCCAATAGGGAGGAAATGCATACCGGTACACGTCTTCGGCTTTGCCAGTTGATCGATGCTCTATGGCAGAGTGTATGACCTTGAATGGCGACCAGCCTTGTCGCATATTGCGCATCATGCCCACAGATGGTAGTTGCGCCCCGAGCTCCAGCATTGTACCTCTGTCGTGAAGAAGAGACCGCTCCTCTGCCTGGATCTCGGTTGTGCGTTCGTCGACACATCGTAACGCACTCCTATTGTGATCGTATTTCTGGTACAAGAAAGGTCCATCGCGCATCTGGAAGTACAGGAGAGTAACGCTATGCGCCTCACTCGCCAGTGTTGCCTCTTGTAGTGTCCATAGGCGCTTCATCCAGCCACTGCACAGGATGCGCAACCCCAGCTCCAAAAATGACGCTGCAGCAGATTCGACGACTTCGAGTTCCCGATCGAGAACCAAGACCGCATCTGCTTCATTGAAAGTCTCCCCTAGGAGCTGGATAGCTTTCCTGCGGTACGCTCTTGCGCTTGGCTCGACGGGTATGCAGAGCGTATCCAGCCAAAGTGCGACTGGCAAGTCAGCTGATTCAGAGGCTAATGCAGGATTGTGTACGCGGTATAGTTCGTTTGCATAATCACGCAATCGACGAAGCTGGCATCTAGGAAGTGCATTTGTGAGCGGGTTTCCAAGCCCATCGGCCCCTTAATGGAGACAGAAGATCAGTGGAAGAAGGAGTGGACAGCAATGGAGACGTACAAACATGGGAGAACGCAATATATGGGTAGTTATCTTCTACAACCATTCGTAACTCCAACTGCTCAGTAATACACAGTTTGGGAACCTTGTCCTGGGACAATGCATTAACCAAAAGACCTGTCGGTACACCCACGAAGTTGCAGCTGCATCCGTCCTGCACATGCCTCGTAACGTAAGTCGCCTCATCTGTCTGATATGCATTACAAATAACATCTCCACAGCCAGAATGATCCCTGATTCCCGGGAGAGTCAGGAGGGATGCGAAGGCCAGGTCGTCAGGTGCTAGCAGGTAAATCTCGCTCGTGCACCAACCTCGCTCTGCGAGTTCCGTCTGCGCTATATCGGACAACTGGTCCAATCCCTCGCATTCGCGGCCGATCCAGTCCACGCTTTTCAAGATCCTCTCGTGGCCCCATCCATTCTCATTGGTCACCATAAATCCGGGCATGTATACGTGCAAAAGCAGGTGCAGAGCGACAATACGGGCGGTGATGTCGAGAGAGTGCAGGACACGACATTCGGCGTACGTGTACTCGAACCTCCGGGTACCATCCTCGGCGAGCTCTTCAGAGAGTATTAAGACTGCATGTCGCGCGATCGATAGAATATGTTCCATGAACACATGATCACCTGCTCGATTTTTCTTCACTGCAGCCGCGAACCATCTCCCTGGTAAGCCATTGAGCTTCGCAGTGGAGACAGATCCATTGCCGACAATGAACTCTACCTCGACATCGAGCTCGAGTCCGCATAAAGCGGAGACTTCCGTGAGGACGCCAAAGAAGAGCCAAGCTTGGAGGAACGCGACTTTGTCACTGGCAGTGACTGGCATTCCGTCGACACGCGATAATATTGGCGGTTGGGCCTGCCTCGTGCGGCCAATGTCTGCCAGGCTCATGCCGTCACGGCAAATGCCTGGTGGACAGAGGACATGACATTTCTCGTCCTTCGTGTGTATGATCCAACCGTGGCGCTCTGGATATGTCCAGAACCCTTTCCCATCATATGGCTTGGACATGCAAAGGTATGGAATTGTGAACGGGGTGAATTCTGGACGGGGGGGCATGTCTGGGGAGACGTTGGGCATGGTCAGAGACCAACCGGTACTAGAAGTACTCCTCCGGAAACGACTAGTGCCATTGTCCTGTGCATTACAGCCGACCCTCGTATGATTATCATGTAGAAGAGTGCCTTGGGAAAGCCATGCCCCAAGAAAGAGGTGAAAAAACCCTGAGAATCGAGTTTAGCAGCATAGGCAATCGGACCACCACTGTGAGAGGATGCTCACATAGGGCGGCTGTTACGATACCCCTCCAGATAGAAGAAAGAATTTGGAACGGCATGATACCGTTGTCGGTGATCTGACAATTACTTATGCAGGAGAGAGAGCTGCTTACCCGCACATCTAACGTGCATTGGCAGTGAGGTATCCTCGTGCTCAGATGTCGAAACAGCGTGGCTACGCGAACTCGTAACCAAACAGCATAGTTTCTTAAGTCAAATTACACCAGGGGTAAGATCTCCACGTTCATTTTACGAGCCCATGTCACTCGGGGGACGTGTTGTGTCCCCGCCATGTTCTCCATTGCAAGTACTTCTGTCTCTCTAATTGTGCGACTATGTACCTCATTTTACAGAAAGAGCTCACCCACACGATCCTGCTCCACCCTTCGTACTTCGGACCCTGCATACTCCAATTCTTGGAGTCCAAGCTGTGCGCAGACGTCAAAGGTACATGCTCAGGTCAATATGGCTACATTATCGCTGCAGTCTCGATCCTGGACACCGACAGAGGAATAGACATCGGCAGAAGTGAACAGGCTGAGTTTGTCACGCGTTTTCAAGCCGTCCAACGGAGAAGTTGTTGATGGCGTTGTGAATAACGCATGGGCTTCTTCGCTGACGTAGGACCCCTACAAGTTTTCGTATCACATCAGGTGCGTACGCTAGCCCGCGACGCAAAGTTGTCCCTCACGCTAATCATCAGCTTATACTCATATTTGCTAACATGAAATTTAACCTCATCTCTAAGCTTCTGTCATTTGCTTCAGATGACCATATCATCGAGAAAAATACGCGCGTGCGATTGAAGATCATCGGTACTCGTGTGGACGCCGCGGAAATTGCACGTTACCTGGCTTTTTTTTTTTTCGTTCGCTTTGGCTCACCTGCTCGGTAGTTCGCTATAGGCACGATTAAGGAAGATCATCTGGGCGTGATTGATTAGATCAGAATAGTATGCGTGACTACTAACCTGCTATTGTTGTTACTCTCAGCCCTCGTTTGGTGATTCACTCGCACTCAGCTGGATGAAGGCGCGATTGTGCTGTGCCCTACATACATGTGAGGGTAGGCTACTGCACATCTTTGTAGTCGAAAACGAAGAAATAAAGACAAATGGAAACGAATAAATGAGAGGACGAGAGCAATCTATATGAATAAGAACCCATATCAACTATGTAGAGGACTTCCGCTCAGGCTTGTTCCAACTTGCCGCATAAATAATGTATTTGTCTACACTCCCTAGGCGGGTGAGAGGTCACAAGGTTTGTGTTGAATCAGGGATGGTGTGGAAGGAATACTGGATGCAGCCTGGGAAACAAAGTCAACGACGAGAATGACGTCAGATAATAGCGACTCACGTCGCATGGAACGTTTGACATGGCTGCTTGTCCAATGAAGGTAGAGAGCACTGCACCTTGCGTGATGTCGTGTTCAACGTGAGGAGTACGGCTGTTCAGTCTGATGATAGGCGCAGAGATTTCTATAAGCAAGTGGACGGAGGTGAAGGACTCTCCTAAGCTCACGCGGCAAGGAAGGTATTAGTGTAGACTGTCAGGAAAAGTCGGGTAAGACGTAGTCAACAGGTGAGTTACTGAAGTCGACACCCTACCATCTGCGAGAACGATGTAGAGCGCTGACCATATAACTAGCAAACAGAGTGTGAGGTGAGAAGCGGCTTGCCACAGTTTTGTATACTACACATACAGGTGGTCCGTTGCAAAGAAAACTGTAGTGGATCATCAGTACTTCAGTGCTGCTGTGATTAATACAGCAACAAGCCCTGACTCACGAAAATGGTGACAAGGACAGCATTTATGCTGTGCTCTACGGTCGGTCTGAATTCCAAGGAACTCATGTTGCTTGGTTACCTTGTCACAAGCCCAGTTTCTGGCTGCTTGTAAGGAGCGATACAACAGCGATCCTAAGAAAAAGGAAACTTACCTATCGACCATACAGTCAACTTATCCAGTAAATCGATAGTCCTAAATCGACCAGTCATCACAATCAGCGATCATTCTGACTACCGTACCTACCTCGATATCTTTGTCTTTGCGCGCTGTTTCCTCAGATGGAAAACAAGACCCGTTGTGATGATCAGATCACACATTGCACCACTAACCAAGGTCAAAATTGTTAGCCAGTACTGAGCATTCATGTTCCCTCCCAATGATTGTCTATCGAGGGCTCTTGCTGCGTCGACGAGCGTGCCGACGAAACTGATCCCACCTAGGACGAAACATATCATGGAAAGCAGCCAACTCTCGGAGAATCTGTAAAGACGGAATGCGAAGAAGAGCTGGTGGAATGAGCCGAGTTCTGTGTAAGAACATTGTTCGTCAGGGTTTCGTACCTGCACAAGATAGCATATGAAAGGTGTGATAACCAGATTGGCTCCTCTCGAAGGGGTGAATATCGTGACTTCGTTAGGTTTTCCAAATGCAGTGACGGTCACTATCCATGCCCAGTAGATGACACAAACGATGTGCGCGAGAGTCAGCAACCTAGTTGGGGAATTGAAACCAATTCCACTATTGCTCATAGGCGAGGGCAGAAAGACGTGGACATACATGATGGTACCTACCTGCTAAACGTAGTCTCAAGAAACCAACATCATACAGTAGCGAACACTTACCAAAGTCTTAATGATCGTCGAGTCCGACGGGAATCGCCTATAGTATCCGAATGTCTGTATGACGGAGCAACCGAAGAGGCACGACGCTAGTGTTGTCCCAACCAGAGCTGGGCCGAGAGTCAACTCTGCATTAAAGCTACTGCTCGACATGAAAGGAGGACGAGGGTAACCGTGATCGAGGTGCAGACTTGGCACCTGCGATCAGTCAAGGGTATTATATCATTCCCCATGGAAGCCATCCTTGCCAAGAAAGAGGTAAGCAGTGCTGCTCTACCTTGGGATATGTTAGGAGGGCACCATATGTACCTATATCGTTTACATAGTCCCGCGGATGATGATTCGATGATCAAGCGACTTAACAGCAATGATGCCGATGAGGCTGTGGAAACGACCATCAAGGCACAAATATTTGCGTGTCGCAACACGCACAGGTTCAAGGTACTAGTTACGCCTTTCCTTCGACATATTTCTTCTGGGAACGCTTGCTCTATAGATGACTTTACTGAAGGCAGACGAAAATACTGGATGTTGTGGAAGGGCATAATCTGACACTAGGTATCATTACAAAGACTTACACTGCCAAAATCTTTTGTCGTGTGAACTGATCCGCAGTGCACGTATTGCGGGTGCTAAGTGGAGCGATGTCTACGATGCTTCCTTCTTTTCCCCTCTAAACGCCAGTGTGAAGCTGTTTTGGCAGGCTTGCCAGCGACGGCGATGAGTGCGTACCAGCAGTTAGAGAGGCTGAGGCAGCCCTACTGACAGTTTGCTGGGGTGGTTACTTAAGATGCGAGACGGATCGAAATGGTATCTTACAGTGATACATACGCGGTCACTTTTGCGGGTGAAAGCCATGTCATAGGAGGGTATTATGGAAGTGGTATTCGTCGATGGAAGATTGAAGACGGACAACAAGAGGGTCCACCCATGTTCGGGAATGGGAGTATCTATTCTGTTGTCGTTGCTCAGGATGGCCGGTGGATTGTGACTGGAGACCGCGCGGGGAACGCAACCATCTGGAACGCAGCCACCCATGAAAAGGTGCGCGAGCTCACAGAACACAGTAGCTCTGTATTCGGGGTCGACATCTCTAGCGACAGCACCAAAATTGCCACTGCGGACCACCAAAACGCCCAGATATTCAGTTTCTCTTCCGGTATCCGACTCCTTCCTCCCCTCCGGCACATTCTGGTTAATGGTGTCAGGTTCTCCCCGGACGGTAATCGATTTGCTACTGTCTCGCATAATGAAGGTTTCCGTGTCTACAGCACTCACAATGGTGATGTCTTGTTCGAATCAGGTCAAAACGGTTCAGTCAGTTCAAGTCCGGTCGCTCCGTTGGCTTGGTCGTCTGATGGCCAGCAGCTGTTCGTCGCGAACAAAGGAAAAATCACCTGTTTGGACCTTTCCAAGTCGCTGGCTTCAGAGTGGTCGATCCATGACAACCAACACAGGATATCTATAGCATTTAACGACAGATTCATTGCATGTACTGCAGGTTCATCGGTTTCACTATGGGATTGTGTGTCCCGCAAGCAGATCAGTGCCATTATCACACACACCGCAGAGGTCAAATGCATCGCTTTCTCACCAAGTGGGCGGTATCTCGCATGTGGAAATGGCTGGAATATCACAATCCACAATCTCGGGGATGTCCTTGCTTTCGACCCTGCTGTAAGTTTACATCTACCTATGAACGTCGCATCACTAACAATCAATACGTTGCGTAATGCTTTAATGGATTACTAAAGGAACTCCACGCTTCTCAGCTTCCACTCGTACAAATGAGTGACGAGACCCTCAAATCATGGACACAGGTTAACCTGACCAACATCGAGGCGCCGCTGTCAGAGGAGATCGCAAGTGCTTCAAGTCCCAGCCACCACGTCCTAGCAAACCGCGCTCTCATACGAGTGCGTTTGAATCATCCGGCACTTGCCATAGAGGACGCCAAGGAGGTCAGCCTGCTTTCTTGCTTCCCCATGCACATGTTCGCTCACGCGTGCATTTCAAGTCCCTCCGTGTTCAGTCATCGCCTATCGGCCATATTGCGATGGCAGTTGCTCTACCTGGCCAGGGTGATCGAGGGGGAGCGCTGCGCACATTCGATCCCGCCTTTCACGATTGTGAGCCGCGCGATAACAGATTTCTCTTATTACTGAAGGTGTGTGAGATGGTCTAGATTTTTCCCAGGATTTATCTATGTTCCGCTCAGTCGATACTTGTGTTCGAATCCGGAAATCAAGAAGAGGCGATAACGCGTGTGGAGGACCTTGCTACGAGAGCGAACAATAACAGCGATGATGAGGCCACTTACCTTTACACCCAGGCGTGTGGTCTGCATGTGCAGACATGTGAGTGTTCCTGCTGACACACTCCGCAGGTCCTTGGAGTTATGTGCATGAAGGCAGGAGATTACAAGCGTACAATACCATTGATCGAGCATGCGAAACGCTTAGCCCCCAAGGACAAACAATGCCCGCCGCTGGTGACGATCTCGCTCGTAAGTACTCTACCGTCGCTAGCTACTAATCTAAACCCCTATGAAGATATTTGGGTGGAATTTCAATGGATTGGATATCATTGCTCAGCAGCATCTGTGTGAAACCTTCTTTACTGAACAACGTACCACCGAAGCCATGGATATTCTGTTCAACATCATCAGGACATCAGACGAGGAGACCCTCAGGAGCGAGCCAACTGCTGACTGGATCGCAGGTCCGTATTTTAGCCGCCAGTCTGGTTGACTGCATGTTAGTGACCGCCGTCAGATTTCACCAAAAGGTGTGCCACGACACTTGAGCAAGTTGGCGATGAAGCTTTTGGATTTGCTGCATCATCTCCCAGTCCTACAAGTCCCGCAGGTCTGTTTATCAAGCGGAGCAGAGCTCGAGCGGCAAAAGGATTGTGGGAGGATGCACTACAGGATGCCAATATGGTACGCATAGCGTTCGTCTATAAGCTGGTCCCCTACAGTTTCCGCATAGGCAGTGAAAGTAGACTCCTTCAACCCTTGGGGCCACGAAACGAAGTACCTGGTTCTTCATGGAGCAAAACGGTATGACGACGCGATTGATGCTTTCAAGTCTATGCTGCAGGTAATTGAACAATCTCATGACTTTTCAATCAAGCGTATGCACCTCCTGTATGAACCTCATATTTACAAATGACGGTTTTACAGAACTGCGCAAAAACTATGTTTCTCCATCTGAGGCGATCGCGGTTATCGATTGTATTGTTCGCGAGACCCTCAAAAATTGTCCCCTTGTCGTCATCCATGTCGCCTCTGGTTGCCTTTGCGACGTTCCTGAGCGGATCCGTATCTTCAAGGCTGATCCATCATTCAAAGAGCTTGTTTCATCCATGACGACAGACATAGACAACGAACGGATCCGACGAGTTATTACAGGTTTTTTTGGATACGTAATGTTTTCGCACGCATGGCAAGGGAACGAGCCGTCATTCGAGGATGTCAACGTAGTCAAATCCGTATGGAACCTTTCGGACGAGCCCTTGAATAAGAAATTGCGCAAATTCTGCGAGGAGACACGCAGACTTGGTTACAATTGGGCATGGTCAGATACCTGTTGTATCGACAAGTCCACAAGTTCCGTCCTTAATCAATCTCTTACATCCATGTACAAATGGTATGCGAGTTCGGCAGCCACACTCGTATTCCTCGCTGGTGTGGCCCACCCGTCTAAGCCCGGGGACCTTACCGGTAGTTTATGGATGACCCGCGCATGGACTTTACAAGAACTTCTCTCACCGAAGGTCATCTTTTTCTATGACTGCGAATGGAAACCATACCTCGGTAATATTGTCCCGAACCACAAGGAATCTCCAGAGATCATGCAGGAGCTAGCAGATGCTATCAAGATTCCCCGCGGAACCATCATCACATTCTCTCCAGACGATCTTGGGGTGCACGAGAAACTTCGTCTGGCTTCGACCCGCAATGCGACGGTCGAGGAGGATGCTGCATATTCTCTCATCGGCATATTCAAGTCTGATATCAGGCCTCACTACGGTGAAGGAGCCGACGCTATTGGACACCTCCTGGAGGAGATTGTGGCTCGAACTGGCGAGGTAACGGTGCTTGCATGGTCAGGGAAGTCATCGTCATACAACAGTTGTCTCCCAGCTTCCATTTCCGTTTATAGCCAAATTGCTTACAACCCTCCGCCTCTCGAAGGGGAAGAAATGGAAAAGTGCATCAACGAATTACGTGGCAGGCTGACCCGGCACCACGCGCGGATTATATACAATAACATCAATCGTCTTTCCCCCGCCCGCTTTGCAACCCGACGTCTACACCTTCCATGCGTCGTCTTCTCTGTGAAAAGTCTCGAGAACCCATGTAATGGCAATGAGAAGCTTTATCGTGCCAGGGTATCGGGACTTGAAAATGTAGAGTTCACGACCGCAGATGATCTTCCACTACACGAAGCAAAGAAATTCGTCTTCGTGAATCCATGGATTCATCATATCCGAGGTCCGAGTAATGGGGTTACTTGGGGAGATGGCTCGGAGTCTGATACTAACTCTGACGCGGATGAAGTTGCGTCATTACCCACTGTGCCCATGCCCCCGGTGGACAGCTACACCCGCGCACTAGCGATGATTGCCCGCCTCGGACAGCCATTCAACGCGTTGCTTCTCGTACAACAGTCGAATAGAACGTACAAGAGGGTTGCTACCGGGAGCGAAATTGTCGTCCCGGGGCCTGGAACTAACATCACCCCCAAGAACATTCGGGCGAAAGTCTTGGAAATCCTGTGACACGCATATGGGGGTTTGAACTGAGTCAGACTGGTCTGCCTTTCATCCTTTATCTCGATCGCTTTTCATTTCGTGCTGTTCTCGTTAGTTGAGCGCTCATAATTGCTACCTACTTATTTATGTAATACTTGGGGCTGCGTTGGAGAATGCTCATATTCATGTGCCATGAATGACGACAGTCTCAATAACTCCATCTATTACCACTTGTACTATGCATACATCCTTTGCCATTTACAAGATCCTCAACCCTGTTCATGTGAGTAATTCTCGTGCGGTATCACGAATTCGATGAAATGGCTTCCTGGGGGTTTTCGGAGTGCCCCCAGAAAGCTCTTCCGTTCCGATTTCAACGTCACAGTCGTCCTCATTATAGCCCTACCGACATTGTTCATCTTGGCGTAGCATCATCCGTGTAGTGAAAGCTTGACCCTCCGACGAGGAATCGCGATCCCCACACGCACCCCATATTTATCTCCCTTACTATCATCTGTCGCGCCGTTCCTCCAAGCTATGATGACATCCAAAGTTCTTCCGGAAGTCAGAATATGCCGTCGAGAGAAGACGAAAGTACGGAAGATGGCGATTAGGGCGACTCGCACGGGACGAGATATAACAGCGAATGCGAAGATAAAGGAGGGGGAAGAGGTTTGCGGTGCGAAGACCAGGACTACAAGAGCGACGACGCGATCCAGGACCTGATGATTTTTACATGTCAGCTAATTTGTATTGTTACAACACGCGACCAGGGATATCTTTTGTCCGAGTTATAGATCATTAATAGGTTTGTGTCGTCCCAAGAATGGCATGAAAAAAAAAAGTACTGGATGCATCCTACGAAGCGAAGTCAACGGAAACCACCATATGGTTGTCCACTGTCAGATAGTAGTGACTCACGTCGCAAGGAACGTTTGACATGACTACCTGTACAGCGAACGCGGACAGTACTATACCTTGCGTGATGTGGTTGCTCACGTACAACTGGTCCGTTGCAAAGATAACTATGGTGGGCCATCAACGCTGAATAGTGACAAGAATTGCGATTATGCTGTGCTCTGTGAATCAGTCTGACTTGCGGGCCATTTGTGTTGCTGGTTACCTTGTCACGAGCTTAGTTTCTGGTTGCTCGTAAGGGACAGTGGTACAGCCATGGTTCTAAGGAAGGGAAGACCCACATGTCGACCATAAGGTCAGCTTACCCAGTAACTCGACGGTCCCAACACAAGTATATCAGTATGCAATATTCGGATCCTGGTGGGAGGAAGTGAAAGGTAGACGGGGTCAACGAGTGTGAGGATATAATGGGATCGAGTGCGGGGCAGTGGATGTGCTGCGAAAATTTTCCGGGTTGGATGATTGCATGTACTAATATGTCAATACATCACCTTCTTCGACATGCTTTCGCCAACCTGCCCTATGTAGACGAATACACCAGATCTTGTGGAGCTCATGGATCATTATAATGACCCGTACAGCCAAATCCGCGTCGTTTTTCCTGGTCCTAAACCTTCGTAGCTAGGTGAACAAACAGAGATGGAGAGATGAAGATACAGGTTAAGAGATCAAGAAGATGAAAAGGGCAAAGGTGAGTAGAAAAGCGTAGATCACAAAGGAGAATGCGATCTAGTGTGTGGGGGGAAGGCCGCCGAACACTATGCTCTGGAATCGAGCGAGCGTGCCGAGACGCCGAGATGCCGAGACTGCACATGCACAGAGCGGAAGTCACGTGACTGCGAGACCGAGAGATTGAGGGTGGAAGAGGTCACGTGACCCGGTCGAGGGAGGGATCGAAACGGAAGAGTGCGTGGAAACAAGCGGCGTGGCCTTCTGAGCGTGTAAGAGCGGGCGAGTGGAAGAGAGGAGGAGAGGCCACAGGTCCGACCATAACAGAGCTAAGCTCACAACGGAAGTGGCCTCGAGACACCCCACACACTGGAGTTAAGCACAGGAGCGATCAGAATAGGATTCCTAGCAAACATATACAGAACAATGGTACTAGGAACAGGGAGCATCAAGAACGGGAAGGTACTGTATGGAGATTGGTACGACAAGCGAAATTGTCCATGATTGAATCGAGAGAAAGTAAACGGGTGGAGTCAGCAGATGAAGAAATGAAGAGAGGAAGTATGCTATTGATTTGACGCCAGTAATCTAAAAAGGCCTGCAATTTCCATCTTCCTTGAGTGGCGACCATGTCAGGAGGCACTCCCTGAAGTAAGAGTTCTGTAGCCCCCCCGATGCAAAAGGCGTGACCAGGCATATCGGGGAAGCCAGCAGAAACCCAAATCTGATTGCAACGGTTGAGAAACCAGGCGTGGGTCATGGGAGACCAACCGGAAGATGTACAAAATGCGAAGAGAGGAGCATCCGATGAATGCTGAGACTGCCTGTGCAATGGTTCAATAAGGCTAGAAGGGGACAGGTGTGGTGATCACGAGAAGTGACAGAAATGTCCGTGCCAAGAGAGAGGGTGGTCTTATACCAGGGGATGTGGAAAGTAGAGTGACACATACCATTGTCTAACGAAGAGATGGAAAGAGGGAGGATTTGCCAGGAGACATGTTTAGATGGGTCAAAAACGTTCTGGGAGGGAATGAGAAGTTTGCCAAGGCGACAGCAAGACCAAAACGCTACCGAGGCAAGAGCCCAAACAGACACATCAAAAGTGTTGGCCAGATCCAAACGATCGTGAAGAATGCAGAGAGTCTCAATGGTAACAGGAGGGGCGTTTGTCACGTTTGGAAGATGGGGGGACAAGTTTAGTGAAGCCTCTGCGAACATGGCAAAGCATGTCATCTCGTACCAAGGGGCGCCGTTGACAATATGCCAAAAATGGAGGCCAGCAAGCCAGTTATTAAGTCTTTTCGAGGTGTGTCCAGCATGATGTGCGGAAAAGAGGGAAATGATCTCGGGTGAGGCTGGCATGCGGGACTCCTCCGGGAGAGCGAGTAAGTCACAGAATTGAGTAAAACGGAGAAGACCCGCTCCATAGTTGGAAGGGTGCTATGGTCTAAGGATTGGAGCATGACTTGAAAAAGGCGGAAGACGATTGTTGGGGAAAAAGGCTCTCGAGGGAGGACAAGAAATCAGCACCGTGGGGGGAAGACCAACATATGAGACGGTCACTGGCGACAACATGTGTGGATGCCATGGGGAGGGTTGGATGGAGGAGCCAGGACGAGGTCGACGGGGAGTTTTGGAATGGATGGTGCTTAAAGAGGAAGCGACCGTGATGAGAGAGGGAGTCGGCATTAGCATAAAAGGCAGAGGCGGCAGCATAGGGTCGATGTCTGAAAGGAACTCTTCAAGAGGAGAAGGGAGGACCATGCTGAAAGGAGGAGTGATGGAGGAGTGGAGTGAAGGAGGGTCAGGGATGCACGTAGAAATAGAGGGAAGGATGCCACAGGAAATTGGATCTGCCAAGTTGTTGGCAGATGAAACATAAGAGAAAAGAAAGTGAAGCCG